ATCTTAAAAACTGATGTTATTTTTAATTTAGTCAACAATAAATAAAATTGAATATGGTCTTTATATAAAATATAAACTAAAAACACAAACTACTACAATGGGCCAAATGATTAAAGCCAACCATAACATAAAATAAATTAAACAAAAGCCCAATTCTATTATAACAATGTTTAAAAGCCCAACTCCTTTAAACTTATAGCCGAACAACATTAAACTATTTATTACTACTATTTAAGTTTCCAAACAAACCTAAAGAGTACTACAACTTTAATAAGATAGATATTACTTTAGTTCGACTTTTAGTTTTGGACGTGTATTAGATTAATAACTTGAAATGAAAAATCTGAAACTACAGAAATTAATTATAGTACTCTAAAAGACTAGTAACCTATTTTCATGAATTATTATATGAAGTAGTTAAAATGCTTAATTTATCAACCAACTAAAATATAAATATATAATATCTCCTTACAAAAATGAAGTTATTAAGAAAAAGTTCTAAAATAATATGTAATGGATTCAACAGTTATACTATGCACTAAAGTAAGCTTCCAAGCATTGCCTAGACTCAAGCATACGCCTAGTTTTTCATTCTTCACCTATTCGGGTTACAGTTGTAACACCCAAGATCCACAATCAATATCCTAAAGTCATCGTTTTACTATTCATGTTTTTCTAATACAATTGTTTTGAACATTAAAACAATAGACTTTTGACATCCCAAATTGAAAATACAGCATACAATGATACAAAACAAAACAAAAATCCAGGATGTTAGCACTTAGTTATAGTTCTTTTTACAAACAATTGGAACACAATTGACGAGATGAGGTAGTTCGTTTGGTAAGGACCCTGTGAGTCAATAGTCATGTTCACGGGTTTGACGTCAGGCGGAGGAGAACTACCAAATCTTGTCACCAAATGTGGTACTGAGTGTTGGACCTTGTCCTCAGCCCAGATAAAGCCCTCCCGGATGAAGTGGACTGTCTAACCGGACCCAGGAGAATGACCTACGAAATGGAGAACCCCTGGATTATAAAAAAAAAAAACAATTGGAACATAAGACAAAATGTATTAAAAAAAATACTGCCATGTACACCCGTCAATTTTGATTTTTTTTTATAGACCTCTCATCTGATCTAGTCAATTCCGAAAAAAACACATTTGAGTTTGAATACCATTTTTAATTGGTCAGGTAAAATGAAATCACTGTTTATGTCTTATTTAATAATTTCATAAGTGAGCTACTTCTCAATTTCAAGTTTCTAATAAAAAACCCACAATTGCAAATAAAGAAAAGAAAATTAAGAATGTGCTGCCATCTGAGACAAACATAATATATGATTTTAAGTTGACATGATCTAAAGAGAATCTTGTGAGATTCGTATTTGACAACTGAGCTTTGGATTCGGAATCAAACGTAGCCATCGTAAACCCCCAAACATTAGATAACATGGCTTCCACAAACTCCTCACACGCTTATTATCTAACTTTGAGGGGGTGAGATCTTGACTTGTTATGCATGCCAATCAAGTAGTTCAATTTAATGAATGAATATAGTAAAGGAACAAAGCTCCCATCATGTTGGACCCTCCTAGCAGCTATAATATGTCATGTCATGACATAAGGTACCATTCTTGAATTTGTTTACGTGCCCCCATCAATGATTTGTTTTTAATAGTACTACAAATAATACACAAGAATCAATTTAGTGTTCTTTAAAAAAAAAAACAAAAGTTTAGGGACTTGATAAAGAAACTAAAAGCTAAATGATTCTGTTAGGCCTAGGGATAATTTAATTTCATTAGAAAACTAAAGAAGCTAAAGTGTTTAAATGGAGACCAAATGAAATGGATAGGAATAATCATTTATTCCTCATTCCTTAATATTTACGGTTTTTTACAATAAAATCTTTGTCATTCTCTTATAGTTAAGAAATAATATATCAAATTTGTTCCTTATCATAATCCAAAGAACAATAAATAACAAATATTACTCTTTATTTTTTATGTTTTTTCTTTTTTTTTTTGTCATCGATCTTTTTTTAATAGTTACTAGTTAGAACCTCAACATTTCTACTCTTAAATTTTTTCCTCTTTCCTAAACCAATATTAAGATTAATTCATATTTTCTTAGTAAGCCGAAAAATACCAAACCATTATCCAAATTAAATTAATTTCCTTATATACATATATATTTGAAGTTCTCTTTAGGCCCAAACAAGGATTAGATACAGGCTTAAAGCCCATATATACAAACGCAAACGAAGTAAGGGTCATTTGCGGTTCGACCAACCGTGTTGAACGCCAAATTCGTTAGGACCAAACCACACACACGCACAATGAGTGAGTGAGTGAGTGAGATAAAAGACAAAAAGTCCGATTCTTTTGGACCAAACCACGCACACGCACAATTGCCCCTTTCTATAATAATGTTCGGTCTTTAAAATATGCACAAGTGGGATCATCGTTTCATCATTGTACTTGTGAAAAGTTAGTTCTAACATTACCAAACACAACAATGTCTAAAACCAGATGGTCTTGCTTAGCCATCACTCTTTTAGCGATTGCTCATTTCTGTAACTGTGAAGAAGCTGTCTTGTCTGAGAAAGAACAGGACAAGGTCTCGAGATTGCCTGGTCAGGATTTCGATGTAGACTTTGCTCACTACTCTGGTTTCGTTACTACTAATGAGGAACTTGGAAGAGCTCTCTTCTACTGGTTCTTTGAAGCTACTGAAGATCCTGCGTCTAAGCCTCTTGTCCTCTGGCTCAATGGAGGTTTTACTTACAAAAACCCAAAAAATTTCTCCATTTTTTTTTTGTAATTGCATCCGAAAGTCCTTTCCTTTGCAACATATTCAATAGTGTCTCAATGGATTGTCAACAACTCACTAAACTACTGTTACATGATATGGATCTTGATTTGTACTTTTGGAGATTGTCTTGTAGCTACTTTTGTTTGGATTTGATTACTTGTTGTGTTCCCTTATTGTGTTCATGTAGTTATGAGTGACACTTTGTTGTTTTGATTCCTTAAATGGAACCAAATTGGAATGTTATTATTTTTATTTTTTTTTGTAACATTTGTCTGTATCTAAGATGGAGTTTTTTTAAATACTATTTTATGTCTCTATAGGACCAGGATGTTCATCTGTTGGATTTGGTGAAGCAGAGGAGATAGGACCGTTCCACATTAAGCCAGATGGGAAGACTCTTTACCTTAATCAATATTCTTGGAACCAAGGTAATGAATGTTGCATAAAAGAGCTATATGATTCTTCTTCACAAGGCTTAGAACTTTTTGTTTGTTTGTTTGTTTGTTTGTTTGTTTGCAGTTGCGAATATTTTGTTCCTTGATGCACCTGTTGGAGTTGGTTATTCATACTCAAACACTTCATCTGATTTGCTTACCAATGGTGATAAGAGAACTGGTAATGATTTTTTAGCTTCTTAAATCTCATTTTCTCTTTATATCCTCTTGTTGATAAGTGGGAGGTTTATGACTTGCATAGCCAAAGACTCCCTTAAATTTCTTCTGGAATGGGTTGAGCGTTTTCCGGAGTACAAAGGAAGAGAGTTTTACATAGCAGGGGAGAGCTATGCAGGTAATTAATAACTTATTAGTAGTCTTTTTTTCTTTTTTTTTGTCTCAAAATCTTCTCTTGCTTTACTTCAGGGCATTACATTCCTCAGCTGAGTCAAGCCATTGTAAAACATAACCAAGCTTCTGGCGAAAACACCATTAATCTCAAGGGTTACATGGTGAGTGCATGTCCTCATTATCAATGTTTAAATCTGAAGGGTTAAAGATTTTGATGAATGTTTACAGGTAGGTAATGGGCTGATGGATGATTACCATGACAGCCTCGGTCTTTACCAATATATTTGGACGTTGGGTTTTATCTCCGACCAAACTTACAGCTTACTGAAACTCAAGTGTGGTTTGGAGCCGTTTATTCACACATCAGAAGTGTGTAATAAGGCTCTGGAGATAATGGACATGGAAATAGGTGAGATAGACCAATACAGTGTCTTCACCCCGGCCTGTGTTTCCCAATCCAAAACGTTGCTAAAGAAGAGACGAGTAGGTGGCTTTCGTGTGAGTGAACAGTATGATCCTTGCACAATGAAACACTCTAAAGTGTATTTCAATCTCCAAGAGGTTCAAGAAGCTCTCCATGTCCCACCAGGACTTGCACCATCCAAATGGGATACTTGCAGGTATAAAAATGTACATAACTATACCTTAGAACTCGGCTTTTGTAACAATCAGGAGAGCTTTGGTTTTTGCAGTGATGTTGTGAGTGAACACTGGAATGACTCTCCTTCCTCGGTTCTAGACATTTACCATGAGCTTATAGATGCAGGGCTACGTATATGGGTTTTCAGGTCTCTTTCTCTAATACATTTTCACTACATTCTCTTTTTGCGGTTTTGGCAGTTAAAAGGGTTGTGTTATTTGGTAACAGTGGAGATGCAGATGCTGTTGTACCAGTCACATCAACCCGGTACAGCATAGATGCTCTAAACCTTAGTACATTTAGTCCCTATGGTCCTTGGTACATAGACGGACAGGTAAGAACAAACTGAACTGAATAAAGAGAGAATCTTAGTCTTGTCATGTTCTGAAACATTTTTTTTCAAATTTGGGGCATTGATTTGAAACAGGTGGGAGGGTGGACTCAACAGTATGATGGTCTAAACTTTGTGACTGTGAGAGGTGCTGGCCATGAAGTTCCTTTGCATAGACCAAAGGAGGCTCTTACGCTCTTCCAAGCTTTTTTATCTGGAGTTTCATTGTCAACACCGAAGAACAGCATCAACAGCGAGAAGTCTAAACTTATGAGTGACTCATGATGGGTTGTGTGATTCTCAGTCAGAAAGTTGGAGTTATTGTATGAACTAGTAAAGAGAATAAATAAGAGCTTGTTCCTGAGTTCTTCTTTCTGCTTGTTTGTTTTAATGTTGGATTCTATTTCTACCATTTGTGAGGCCATAGAATCCAAACTTCAATCCATGTTCAAGACAACAACACATGCTGAACTGAAATTCTGAAAAGTGGGTATGAACTAGTAAAAGTGTATAATATTGGGTAAGAAGTCGAAATTAGCATTGCATTAGGGGTATAAACATAAATAATATAAAATAAACATATTGGTTGGAGTTGCACATGTACACACTTCATGTAATAAAAATCTTCCGTTTGTTGAGATATACGACGTTGTGTGATTGAAAGTTTCGAACTTTCGCGTCGCTCAGGGTTCAGTCACCGCCGTGTGACCGTATTGTTGTCTGTAGTTCTCACAGGATTGTTGAATTTAAGGTCCTAAGCTTGATTCTATTACGTGTATTAGCTTTGGTCGATATTATTACAGTTTCCTCGATTGTAATTTATGCTGGGAGTTGCAACTTCTATGTTAAAATCTCCGGACCAATCTGCATTCTTTAAAATCTGGAATTTATTTTTCTGGTTGGTTCGCCACTTTCTAACACATGTTTGTGCTTCTTAGCTAGAGGACAAGAGAAGAAGCTGAAATAACAAACATCATGGTGATGGTGTCTAATTCTAGTCATCACAACAAGGAAATAAATGTCCGAAGGAGAATCTCTAAAATGTATTCTTCTTATTCCCAATGATTTTTTCTCTTTTGTCACATCTGTTGCTTATGTGGGGACACAGAACCATTATAACTCGTTACCTGTCTATGGTATGATGAGTAAAAGGTTTCATAGATATGTATATTGATTGTTTTACAGTATTTGTTAGCATAGAAGTTAGGATACTCTATGAATCACATGAAGTTAGTAATTGTTTTCTATAGAAACAGCCTTTTTTGAGTATCAGAATTTTTTGTTTTGTGGAAATTGCAGATATAATAAAAGGGAAGAGAATTTTCTGTCACTTAAGGAGTACAATGACTACTTGGAAGAAGTGGAATGCATGAGTTAGTTCTCTCACTTGTTTTTGTCCTTACATTCTTGTGTGTTTTGTGCCACAACAAGACCTATATGTCTATATCTACCATTCCACAGTATTCGATTTGGTAGATGGAATCAATGTTGAGGCTATTGAAGAGAAGATAAAAAGATACTCTCTAGAGAATGCTGAACAAATCATGGTTAATAGAGCCCGCAAGGTAATTAATTGCCTTAGGTAGCCTTACCTTTCTCATTTTGGTTAGGTTAGTGATTAGAAGAAAAGATATAGTAGAATCACATATGAGATCATGCATTGCCACTTTAAAAACTTATCAGATTTCTAGAAAAGTTGTGTAAATGGAAATAGTCTTTGTTTTATTATCTCTTCAACAGGCTGAAGATTTAACTGCAGCCTTAGCAGCTTGCAAGGCCCAACCTCCACAAACTGATGCTGATACGGTAAACAGAGTTATAATCTTCATATAGACAAAGAAGCTAAAGATTTCTGACAAATACTGAAACCTTTGTTGTTGTTGATGTATGCATTGTGTAGTCTTCAAACCATGGTACTACTACGGCTGCAACTGCATACAGTCAGGCTCCACGACCAACGGGAATGGGACCACAACCTGTACCTATAGGAGGAGGAGGAGCAGTTCATCAACGTTACTACTCTATGGAAGACGAAGCAATGTTGAGGATCAAAGCTGAGAGAGCTCTAAGGGGTGGAGGATTTTCTTTACAGATAAGCAAGAAGAGAGCTTTTGAAGAAGCATTTTCATGCATTTGGGTTTGATTTTAGTTTTATCTTTAATGGATATTTACAGACACAAAATTATACAAGATGATGTTTTTGGTATGTGTTACACAAAGACAATATACAGACAAAAGTCATGATCCTTTTTATACAGAAAGTTACATACAACTTTCAGCTTGAAGCAAAACAAAAATATAAGGCTACGATTGACCTGAGACTCCCAAGTTCAAAGGGCTATGCGGTCACTTAGTGAAGAATTAAAAAGGTTTCTGCTTCACACAGTTTAGGGTAGGCCTCCGTTTTGGTTAATTCAATTTTGATAAGGCCATTTTTTGGTTAATTCGATTCTACATAAATGTTACCAAAGTTTTTTATTTAGGTTTATACACTATTGGTTGACAAAAAAAAAGGTAATACAGTGTTGTGGTTTGATCAAATAAATTCAGTTAATTGGTTAGTTCAGTTTGAAATTTAGTTAATTCGGTTAGTTTGATTTGGATTTTGTGGTATGGTTTATAATTTTTTTTAAGAAAACCGAAGTATTCGGTTAGTTTCTGCTTTACACAGTTTATGGTAGGCCTCCGGTTCGGTTAATTCAGTTTTGATGAAGTGATTTTTTGGTTAATTCAATTCAACATAAATGTTACCAAAGTTTTTGATTTAGGTTTATACAGTATTGGTTGAACAAAAAAAAGTTTATACAGTATTGTGGTTTAATCAAATAAATTCGGTTAATTGATTAGTTCAGTTTGAAATTTAGTTGATTTGGTTAGTTTGCTTTTGGATTTTTGGTATGGTATATAAATTCTTTTAAGAAAAACGAATTAACTAATCATCAAACTAAATCATTTTTTTTAAAAAAACCTACCAAATCGAACCAAACTCTTAACCGACCTTCTTGAAAATTTTGGAATCCCAACCCTAGTTTGGAGAAATGGAGTCATAATACAACACACATATGAAACTATAAATTCAAAATTGGATATCAAGTTTTTGGAGTAGAATCTTACAAAATGATGAAAAGAGTTATAAATCTCCTTTTAAGATAATAAAATAGATCATAAATACTTGAAAATTTCACTAGAGTACAGTACTCGAAACTGAAGCATAGTTTCAAAAGAAGTGTTCAAGAGCGTGGCCATCTAGATAACTTCATGCTCGTCATCCTCCTCCTCTTGTTTGCTTTATTCTTTGAAGCCAACCTCAGTTTCCTCTTTGCATTTCTCTCTGGATTCACCACTGCCATTGTCTTTCTTCTCGCTTATCTCACTGTAAACTTCCACAAAGAGTTGGTTGCCTAAAGTATTGTCTCTTATACTGTCACGTACCTCTTCCGCAAGTTGTTTAGACTCATCTGATAACACCATTTAAACATGAACCTCTTGGTTACATTTTTGACACATGTCGACTTCCTTTTATATCCTATATTGTAAGGAGGCGGACTCAATTTCTGCCGTGTCCCAATGTTAACATCAAGAATCTCGCAGCAACGATAAATCCGCCCATAATGGCAAAACCACATTTTCACTATTTTATAACTCCCACTCACATTGTTTTGAGAGGGTTTTGAATTTGAGGATGGATTTCAACGGCAGTCGAAGGAAGATCTCTTCCAGTAGCTCGGGAACTAAGTACATGTGATTAGGGTTATCGTCTTCGGCAAGTTAATTGTCTTTGACTCTTTGGTGTATAAAATAGTCTGTAGAGTTTTGTCTTAAACCTAAGTAGGGAAGTCAACAGGCTTGCCCGGGACGTTCCAAAACCAGCAACATCCGTAAATATTTGAATCTGGTCTGGCCCAAATATATTTTGGATGTATATCCTAAAGTCTGGCTCAACCACAACAGAACTGTAGAGTTTTTTTCGTGTTTTTGATATTCTTAAAATAAATTATTATAACATTGTCACTATTTTAAAACATCTAAATTTTCATAAGAATCAGTTATAATTCTTCGCTTTTGAATATCTGTTATTTTAAAATTTTCTTCTTTGATAAAATATTTATTTCATATGCTTTAAAACAATAATATAAACAAGGCAAATTTAACAAAATTTAAAATTTAAATTAAAACTTAGTATAAAATAACAAAATTCTTATGCTAAACACAAACAAACGTTCCAGACTTTGCATTTTCGGAAAATATATGTTCTACAAACCTTTGCTAAGTCTAAATACAAATGGTGACAAATTATAACATAAAATTAAAAAATTGCATATGATTACAAAGTATTAAATCGATCGTTTAATTGGCAGCTCCGGGCAGATATGGTAACAGGTATAGACTAATAAAACATATAAATCAGCCAAAAATAAAAACGAATTAAATATTTATTTGATTAGATAAATTATTTAAATTAATAATAATGGTAAGAATTATCCATAATCTAAATATAGAACTAATTAATATCACTTACAAAATATTCTAAATGATATTACAAATAATAATTAATTGGAGCTAATTTTTAAAATTATAGAAAGTGTAATAATGTTTGATTAGTACTTTTTATATTTCTATACTACATAAGATAATGAATAGAAAACAATTTATAACAATCAATATAATGATTTCATTTTCATATAAAAATATAGCCATATCTATAATAATTATTAATCTCTTATAATGTTCATATATGATTTAGAAATAATAAGACTTTGAAGATTGAACTAGTTATATTTAACGAAACATGTGAGAACTTTGATTTAAAAATGTTTTACAGTTATAATAATATAGTGAATAAGGTCATGTTATGATTGAAAAAAATTCTAAGATGGATTTTTGGTTGATTGATTGTATGTTTTGTATTAATATTTAGAGAGAGAAATAAATATTTGGCAAAAAATATGTAAGAAATTAGGAAAATATTAGCAAAATTTTAATAAAAATAACAGAATGATAACGAGAAAAATAAAAGAAGTCGAAGAAGATGCATAGTATGTATTAGAAAAGTTAATGTGATAATTACATATATAATTCCACAAAAAATTTATTACTAAATATTTATCAGTTATTGTTACATCAAATGTATAGAAAATTTACAACTGATTTTCAAACTATTTGAAGTTCAAAATTAAATTGTTAATGTTCTATTTATTACTCAAAATTTATGACATTGTTAATGTTCAAAGTTTATCAGGGTGCTTTTGTAGAATTCTGTCCAAGTTTGGATAAATGAAGTAAGATCATGGCAGCAAGAAGCGTGAGGAAAGTTTGGAGTTTAAGAAATATGGGATTTCTTCGGTAGCCTTTGTCTAGGACCAAGCATATTGCATCTAGTTTTGCGACTGGGGTAAAAACAATAAGGTTTAAGAAACTTTCCATTTATTTTTATGATTTTCAAATTCATACCATAAGCCATGTTTATATAGGAAGATAGGAAGATAGCTTTCGTTTCTATGGATAGGTTGTATGCATTTTTTTTCTTATGCTACATGTCACACCTTGCTGCATTAGCAAACTTTTTTACTCAAAAGTTCAAACCCTCTCACTTTCGTTGAATCATTTCACACTTTCGATGAATCATTTCACATTTTAGGTTGATTATTAAGTCGTGTAAAATTAATCAACCTCTAGGTTGAGACATCATGGTTCTAGGTTGAGCTTACAACTAGCATCGGATAGGTTGTATGCATTACTTTCGATGAATCATTTCAAATTTTAGATTGATTAACTTTATATAGTTAAACCTTAAACATTAATTAATCATAATAAAATAAAATAAAAAATCATTCAAAAAAAAAGGAAATATGTGTTTAACAAAAAAAATTCATATATATTGTATTATCATCTACTAATAATTCTTTCTATAAAATCAATTTTTGAATGTATATTTATCGATTCAATTTTCAAATTGAAAGATATATTTCTATATATTTTTTTATCAAATAAAAAGAAAAGAAATAGACTTTAGATTTTTCAAGGTTGTAAATTTTTTAATGTTTTAGGTCAAATTTTTGAATGCATATAATCATTTATTTTGATGATTTTTTTAAATTGACTTAAAGATAATTAAGCACGCATGTGCGGGCAAAACACCTAGTAAATAGTAAATCTAGAACTAATTAATATCACTTACAAAATAGTCTAAATGATATTACAAATAATAATTAATTGGAGCTAATTTTTAAAATTATATAAAGCGTAATAATGTTTGATTAGTATTTTCTATATTTCTATACTACATAAGATAATGAATAGAAAACAATTTATAACAATCAATATAATGATTTCATTTTCATATAAAAATATAGCAATATCTATAATAATTATTAATCTCTTATAATGTTCATATATGATTTATAAATAATAAGACTTTGAAGATTGGACTATTTATATTTAACGAAACATGTGAGAACTTTGATTTAAAAAATGTTTTAGTTAAATCAAATAATATAGTGAATAAGGTCATGTTATGATTGAAAAAAATTCTAAGATGGATTTTTGGTTGATTGATTGTATGTTTTGTATTAATATTTAGAGAGAGAAATAAATATTTGGCAAAAATATGTAAGAAATTAGGAAAATATTAGTAAAATTTTAATAACAATAACAGAATGATAACCAGAAAAATAAAAAGAGGTCGAAGAAGATGCATAGTATGTATTAGAAAAGTTAATGTGATAATTACATTTATAATTCCACAAGAATTTTATTACTAAATATTTATCAGTTATTGTTACATCAAATGTATAGAAATATAAGGAGGCATGTATAGTAGGTGAATGATAGGATCCAAACGAGGTTATGTAACGGTTTCGGGGTGTTTTTGTAGAAGTTCTGTCCAAGTTTGGAAATATGAAGTAGGAACATGGCAGCAAGAAGCGTGAGACCAGTTTGGAGTTTAAGATATATGGGATTTCTTCGGTAGCCTCTGTCTAGCACCAAGCATACTGCATCTAATTTCTTGACTGGGGTAAAAACAATAAGGTTTAGGAATCTTTCCATTTTTTTTTATGATTTTCAAATTCATACCATAAGCCATGTTTATATAGGAAGATAGGAAGATAGCTTTCGTTTCTATGGATAGGTTGTATGCATTTTTTTCTTATGCTACATGTCACACCTTGCTGCATTAGCAAACTTTTTTACTCAAAAGTTCAAACCCTCTCACTTTCGTTGAATCATTTCAAACTTTCGATGAATCATTTCACATTTTAGGTTGATTATTAAGTCGTGTAAACATAATCAACCACTAGGTTGAGGCATCATGGTTCTAGGTTGAGCTTACAACTAGCCTTGGATAGGTTGTATGCATTACTTTCGATGAATCATTTCACATTTTATATTGATTAACTTTATTTTAACTTTATATAGGTCGAGACATCATGGTTGTCAAATGGTTCAGGCCGTAGCTTTTTGCTACTTTGGTTTGGATTTGATTACTTGTTGCTTGTGGCTGATTTATTGTTGATGTTTACAATGATGAATGTGATTTTCCCTTTTTGTGTTCATTTAGTTTCTTTTAGTTTATATCTGAGATAGAGTTTTGTTTTTTTCTATCTTTTCTATCTCTGTATGACCAGGATGTTCATCTGTTGGATTTGGGGAAGCAGAAGAGATAGGACCGTTTCACATTAAGCCAGATGGGAAGACTCTTTACCTTAATCAATATTCTTGGAACCAAGGTAATGAAGTACTATGTTGCAGTGTATTTGGAAAGAGCTCCAAGGGCTGGAGGATTTTCTTTACAGATAAGCAAGAAGAGAGCTTTTGAAGAAGCATTTTGATGCATTTGGGTTTGATTCCTCAATAGTTTTTTTTTAGTTTTATCTTTAATGATATATTTACAGACACACAAATATACAAGATGATGTTTTTTTGGTATGTGTTATACAAAGACAATCTACAGACAAAAGTTACATACAACTTTCAGCTTGAAGCAAACAAAAAATAGAACACAATGACAAACACAAAAAATCTTCTTTTCACTTTCTTTTCTTTCTCTCATAGCCAGAAGTAAAGCATTGCCTGTTTCAGTAAACATGTCACATACTTGTCAGTACTAATAAAATACTGACCAGATATTTACTAATGAAAAATATGATTGAATCTACATACCTCTTGAACAGAAACAATGGCTGGATCAATCCAAGGTTGTAGGTTCTCCATTGTATCTGACCTCTTAACTTCATATGACTGCACAGAACTTACCTCCTCCCTGGTTTCCCTCACTAGACTAATCTCTTCTTCCTTAACCACTCCACTAGTTTCAGGTTCTGTCTTAGTTCTTTCCTTCTCAAGCCTCTCTACTCTCTCTCTCAACCTCTGCAGTTCAGCTTGATACTCTCCACGGTTTCTCTTACCGCTTCTTTCTCTTGTCTGTCTAGGTGATTTCTTTTCCATCTTTGTCTGCTTTGCAACTTTTATCACCAGAGTTTCATCAGTCTCACACACACCCTTTGCTTCTTGAAAGTTTGATGAGCTTGCAACATCTTCTTCTCCCTTGTCTCTTCTAGATTCAGACAATGAACTCTTGTATTGCATGGAGTCTCTAAACTGTGTAAGCTCTTTCACTTGCTCATCCAGCTTCTTGATCTGTTCCCAATACACATCTAAAGAACTCTTCTGTGAATCCAAACTCTGCTCAATAACTTCCTTCTCCACAGGTTCTGGAGAGGGTGTTTGAGACCTATCACCCAGTGACATCTTCAGCATATTCTCATCCTCTTGAAGCTTAACATCTAAGCTATTCAAGTCACTATACCCCAAGCTCATAAGCTGGCTTCTATAAGCTTCAACTTGATACTCAAGCGCAGTGATTTCAACCTCCTTCTGGTAAATAAAATCCTCTAAGAGAGCAAAGGACATCTCAGCGTGAGACATTTCCTCTTCCACTATTCTCTTGTACTGTCCAGCCTCCATGGCTAGCTCAGCTTTCTCTCCTTGCAGCCTAAGAATCATTGACATAGCCTCGCTAGCTGACGTGGCAGATGCTTCTCTCTCTGCGTCTAACTCATCTTGGAGCCTCTCAACTACTTCTTTGCGCTCATAAAGAGCCATTCTTAGATCAGTTATCTCAGCTCCTGGTAGTTTAAAGCTGTGGCTTCGTTCAACCATGTCTCTGCACAACACAAATAGACAACAGATACATAATGTTCTGTAATAATTTCCACAATCCCATAAAGAGTTCAAGAACACCAGAATAAGCAGCAGAATCTTAAAGGGAAGAAAGAATCTCATATTGTACCTGAGAAGTTGTAGAAGAAGAGGAGCTTTTATGGGGGAACTTGCAGATCCTATGAGAGTTATGACTAATTTAATCTCTTTGAACAGAGTTAATGCTTCAAATGCTTCAAACAGAAGAGATAAATATTCTGTTGAATAACAAAGAAACTTTAGTCTAATCAAAGTGGAAATGATCTAAAAAGGGAATATAATCTTTGAGTCAGAATAGTCATGCCAGACAAAAATAAAATCATTATGCTTCCTTACCAGTATCAAAGGTAGTCAGGCTAGAAAAGTATCTCAGAACATAAACAGAACAAAGTTCTTCAACATCTTCTCAACATAAAGAAAGTATCAAAATATAACTTTACAAAAAGTGGACTGTATCAGAAAAACAGTGAATAGTCTTTGTAAAATAATGATGAAATGCTGGAATATATCAAACAAAAGAGCTGAAACGTGTTTGATGAAATAATCTTTGAATGATTAAAGCTTTAATGTAACCTTTAATTTTGCGTCTAACATGTCACCTTTCATCTTTGAATGTGGTTTGAAAACTTCTTGTTTTAAAATACCAAAATCATTTAAAGAAAACAAAAAGAGGGTTTTATGTTTCAACGGCTTATCATCATTACAGGGCCAAGTATTAGTTCCGGTGGGACCTACGGTGGCCGACTTCTTTTCCACCACGTGTCAGAGAAGTGTTCGTTGTTAGACTAGTAGTGTCTAAAAACATACGCAAATGATACAGCGACAGGGACAGTTTCAGATGTAAAATTCCAGACAGAACTGCATATCTTTGAGATCACAAACTTATTAGTTTAAGATGAATACAAACTCTGTTCTTAAACTTGTCTCTCACCATCTGTTACAACCACCTTCCTCAGTTTCTATGTTGTGGCTCAGATTACCATATTGGAGATATGATTTTCTTAGCTAGAGCCTTGAGAAGTAGACTGCTATTGATTCCCACTCTAAGCTACATATCACATCCTGTAGTAATGCAATGTTACCAGATTGAGAAACAAATACACAACACAGTTGAAACGATGGGTTGTTTAGGCCAGCGAAGATCCCAAGCAAACATAGTACCAGAAGACCCTCCCGCCTAAACACATCACATCAAAACAATTATCAGACCACGCTTATAACTTCTGGGGATACTTAATATGCTATCTAATATTGGGCAATACACTAAGCTGAAGTTATTTTTGTGTATATGTGAAAGAAATGTCCTCGATAATAGTGAAGGTCTATGTATAAGGTATCAAAAGGAAAACTAGTAGCCACAAGGTGGTTAAATGTTACAGAAACCAAATGATTCACTTTCATCTCACAAGAGTTCTTACTAGATTACTTCTACAGACATAAGTAAAAAGGACAAGATGAAGGAATATTCATACACAAAACTTGGAAAATACTATGGATCATCATCACATTCATCAACGCATGGTGAAGAGAGTATTCAAGCTATAAACAGGTTCAAGCTAAGACTTTACCACACCTCACACACACAGACAAAAGAAAGTAGTTACAATGCAAGTGTGCTTTCGAGATGGATGAATGTCAATGGAGTGAACAACTGCAGAAGCTTTTCCTTGAAACCTGCAATGTAATCATCAAATGAAACACATTATGTATACTTTTCGAATAAGCTATTAAACCCAAAGGATTCAGCTTTCCCATCCTACTAGCTAAGAGTATGTTCTAAGTTCTACTAAACCCCAAAATGAACAAACTTTCTAGGGGTTTTAGGAGCTAAACAGAGAAGCTATGGTGGGAAAGTTAGAAGTAGGACCGGGGTAGTTATTTTTGGAATATTCGGTTTGGTTTGGTTTGGTTCCATTATGATTTATTTTGGATATCAGATAGTTCAAGAATAAAAATATGTAAGATTGGTTTAACAGTCGAAGAAAATTTGGTTCGGATTATTAGTTCAGGTAGAGTTTGTTTCGAAGGCGAATTTGTACTCATACTCTATATTGTGCACACACACAAAAAACATACTCACACTCTGGGAAAATGGGCATTTAATTCCCCAAGTATTTGAAATCGACAGTTTTAATACTCAAGTATTGCTCGCGCAAAATAATTCCCCAACTAGTAGTTGACTGCGCGAAATTAGGAACCAAATAGTCAACCGTTAACTGGTTAACGGTAAGATAACGGTTTCCGTTAACCTTTTAACGGTTGACTATTTCGTTCCTAATTTCACACAGTCAACTATTAGTTGGAGAATAAATCTGCGCAAGAAATACTTGAGTATTTAATCTGCCGATTGAAAATACTTGAGGAATTTAAAACATCAATATTTTTTTAAAAAAATATATAATTTAAAAGATTTTCAAGTCAGATACAATAAATATATGAGATTTATACTTTTTGAAAGAGATTTTTGAGCTTTTACAATAACATGTACAATAATAAAAATAGTTATAGTGGTAGTTTATTGTTGATGTACTTCATGTTTATAAAATCACATATGGATGATTTCATACCATTTACGGAATCATATGTTGTAAATTAGATCTCTACTTTAGGCTAGGGATGGCAAAAAATATCGAACCAAATGAAACCGAACCAACTGAACCAAAACCGCTCCAAACCAAACTGAACCGAGTTAAACCGAACCGAGAAAATAATGTGCTTTTGTTATTATTTGAAAACTAAAGTCTCTATTAACTTTATACAATATACCTAAATCCTAACACTAACGATTAACTTTATTAACGCTTTTTTAAAAAAAAAAAATCTATTTACTTTAGTTAACTTTGGTTTGATTGTGTTCTTATAAAAATGATTATTTTTTCTGATATTTTTTTTCAGATTTATAGTATAATTAATTTACAATGACATGTACAATAAAACTGAAAAAAAAAATCTAAGAAAATCATCATTTTTTTATAAGAACACAATCAAATCAAATTTAACTAAAGTAAATAGATTTTTTTTCTTTTTAAATAAAGTTAATCGTTAGTGTTAGGATTTAAGTATATTGTATAAAGTTAATAGAGACTTTAGTTTTCAAATAATAACAAAAGCACATTGTTTTCTCGGTTCGGTTTAAACTCAGTTCAGTTTGGTTTGGAGCTGTTTTGGTTCAGTTGGTTCGGTTTCATTCGGTTCGATATTTTTTGCCATCCCTAGTCTAAAGTAGAGATCTAATTTACAACATATGATTCCGTAAATGATATGAAATCATCCATATGTGATTTTATAAACATGAAGTACATCAACAATAAACTGCAACTATAACTATTTCTATGATTGTAAATGTTATTGTAAAAGCTCAAAATTCTCTTTCAAAAAGTAAAAATCTCGTATATTGATTGTATCTGACTTGAAAATCTTTTAAATTACATATTTTTTTTAGAAAAATATTGATGTTTTAAATTCCTCAAGTATTTTCAATCGGCAGATTAAATACTCAAGTATTTCTTGCGCAGAATTATTCCCCAACTAACAGTTGACTGTGTGAAATTAGGAACGAAATAGTCAACCGTTAAAAGGTTGACGGAAACCGTTATCTTTCCGTTAACCAGTTAACGGTTGACTATTTGGTTCCTAATTTCACGCAGTCAACTATTAATTGAGGAATAATTCTGCGCGAGTAATACTTGAGTATTAAAACTGCTGATTTCAAATAGTTGGGGAATTAAATGTGCACACTCTATATATATAAATAAGTAAATATTAAAACATATTTAAAAAAAATGATTTTTTTATTTAAAAAAAAAATGTTGGCCACTTTTGTTTATGATTTTTTGTTTTTGAATTTTAATTTTTTAAAAAATTATTCTGTTAATTGCTATACTTTGAATTATAATTTTTAAATTTTAACTCCAGATGTTTACCAATTTTCTAAATTTAAATTAATTAATTTTATGTGTATAAATATCATTTCACTTTTTAATAAAATTTATTTTGGTGACTTAGATTTTTGAAGTTTATTTTTTTTGTTAAGAACTTATTACTATCTTCTAAAAAATTTCTTATAAGACATAGATTTTCGGTTTTGGAATTTTTTGGTTTGGTTCGTTTTTTTTTTATTTTGTTAATTGGTTAGGCCTGAGAAATGCGAGTTTACATAAATACCCTCATTATTTTGCTGCCCTTATCATCATGTACTGAGTGAGAATCTTTGGTTTCAGGGAAAGTGAAAAATGCTGACCTTACAAATACAACACAGTAGCTTCATCTGTCCTAACGACAAACTCCGAAGCTTTGGCCATGTCTTCGTGAAAACTAGCGGTGGATTACTCACTGTAATATCCAAAAAGAGAGACTTTACAGATAACAAACCAAACGAGAAACGACCCTTCTTGCAAATCAAAGTCCCCAACACAATCCTCGCTCGATCTGCGATCACTATTCTTGGTTTAGGATTCATCGATGCTGGGTAAGTTCTTTTTTAACAAGACGCGAACATTGCATAGTATGTAATGTTTATACTAAACTCTTTCAGGTATAGTGGTGACTGGTCAAGAATAGGTGTGCTCTCTACAGAAACAGAGGAACTACTCAAACTCGCTGCTTTTCTCGTTGTTCCTCTCTGTATCTTTCTTGCTCTTTCTTTCTCCAATGAATCAACTGATTAAATAAGTTTCTTTTACTTGTAACAGAATGTGACAGTTTTTTTTGTTGTACTTTGAATATATGGGGAGAACTTACATTTGATTACAATGAATGAAAATGTCACTAAAAATTTGTTAGTGGCTTTTAAAAATCACAAGAAGGAGAAGCGCGTCGAAAATCCATGATAAGAAGAGATGCAACACTATGAGCAAGAGCACCCAACACTACAAACACATGGAATATCTGATGACTATGTCCAGCAACATCAAAGGCACCAGGCTTCCATCTCTCAGGTATACGGCTAACATAGAATCCAGCTCCCGTTGCGTACAACACAGCCATGGCCAGCTCGTAAACAAGCGCGATAGCCACGTTTGGATGATCTTTATGAAGGTAAAGCAAGTGTGAGCAGGGTATGACTCCAGAGAACCCCATCGTTAGGAAAAGAGCTGCTCTGAAAGGTCTGAAACGCGGAGCTGAGAGGGATGGAGAGAGGAGGGTGAAGATGGCGAGGAGGCCGAGGATTGAGATGGATGAGAGGTAGAAGAGACGCCAGTGAGTGTGGCAAGAGAAGGCGTAGTAGAGAGGTGCGAAGAAGGAGGAGACGATCATTAGGGAGATTCCTGCGTAGTCTAGGCGCCAGAAGAAGAGGTTGAATTTTCTTGAGTGGCAGGCGAAGAGGTGTGACATGGAGCTGCACATTAAGCAGATCATTGCTCCTGATAAGAATAAGAGCCATGGCCATTTTGGAAGTGTTTCGTGGTTTAGTTCTTCTCCTTGATGGTTTGAGAACGAGCTAGTGTGTGTCACGTTCGATTCCTGCCAAGAGACGCATACTTTTTTTTTTAACTCAAATCTTTTGAAAGTTACATCACATGGTGAGTGATAGTTACCACTAAGAACTAGTGCAAAATTGCAATCAGCATATCATATGTTTACATCAGCACTAAGCCTGCAATTATTAACTGAACCAAAAATTTGGTTTTCGTTTAGTTCCGGTTAAGAAGTCCGGATCCACTAGGCAATTTGAAAAAGAAAGGTTTTCGGTTTGGTAATCAGTTGGTTTAGTTTAAAAAAACTACCAAACTATACCAATTTTAACCGAATTTCGAACTGAATTCTTAACTAATTAACCAAAATCCAAACTGAAATAACCAAACTCAACTGAATATTTTTTCAAAATTTTAATCAGCTTAAACCAAATTCTTAAACTTAGTTAATTTTTTTTAAACCGAACTAATCGAAAACAAAACTGTACCAAACCAAAACTTTAAATCCAAACTGAAATAACCAAACTCAGTCGATTTTTTTTTCAAATTTTTAATCAACTAAAACCAAATTCGTAAACATAGTTAGAAATTTTTGAAATCGAACTAATCGAAAACTAAACCGTACCGAACCAAAACTTTCCGGTACAATTCAGCAAATTTTTGCCGAACCAAATAACCGAATTCTAAACTAACCGAACCAAAAAAAAGATCGAACTAACCGACCCCATAGGCCAATGAGCACAATGACTTGAATGTCTGTCTACTAGTAATAGAATAAACAATGTCACAGTCTGTACAAGAATCTTACATGATACAGAGTATGATAGCTGGAAGAGTAAACATCATTTGAGATTGCCATTGACGGCCACGGCCAGCGAATTGTCTTCCTGTCATTTGGACCAAACCATAAAAAAACTTAAAGACTTTTATATTCAAAAAACAACAAAAAGACAATTTTAACCCCGAGACAAGTCTTTACCCGGAGAAGACTCTCACGAATCCGACAAGACCAACCTCCGTAGTTTCCATAGAACTCACCACCATCATCCAACCGAATATCAGAAACCCACCCAAGTGCCTGTCCATTACAAAACCCTAATCATTCTCAAACTTTTAAATTCAAATGTTTTTTTTTTGCTAAATTTAAATTCAAATGTTGAAAAAGTGATTATGCAAACATACGTCCAGATGTTGAGAGTCTCATTGTGCCAAGAGAAAGCGCTGAGGAAAGTCTCCTTGAGAGACCATTCGCATCGGTAATGATTGTGTATGAACTCGTTGTCTTTGAGATACTTTGGTAACTCCTCGAACTTCATCAACCTCCTCTCTGATCTCTTCTTCTCGCAGGAATCTGAACTCTTCCCATTTCTTGGAGTTATCTTGGAAGAGTACTCCCTCACAGCTCTCCGTTTCTGCATGATTCGCCGGAGAAAATTAGCTCCGGCGACGCAAACCACCGTTGGTTTAGTATCTCGCGACTCTCGCTCTGTTTTTTCCTCTGGATATTTGGAGTCAGTTTTGTTTTGCGGAGGATGCTTTGTCTCCTACTTATACGGAGAAGAGTTTAAAAGGACAAGCAAGCTTCGTGTCTTTGGTATTGAAGATTACTTACGTGGCGGCTTTGACTGGTCTTTGTTTCCACGTGTTGTTATTTCGTTGGGTGGATTAGTTTTGCTTAGTGTGAGGTGGATACAGCTGATTATTATTTTTACGCGCAGTGTCCGTTTAAAACAAAATAATAAAAGTTACAGTTGGAAGGTGAGGAATGCAGAAATTGTGGTGTCTTTAAAATATTTAGTGTTTTCAAAGTTACACAAGTTGGAGTGACGCAATTATTTAAATCCAAAACTTTGTATTTTAATCCATGGTTTATATTTACATTTTCCCAAAACCAACATGTGATTAAATTCTACAAAAAAAAAGTTGATAGACATTCCGGTTCACTTGCGGAATTTTATTAAGACCATCTCCAATAGAAACTTATATTTTTCTCTATTATTTACATTAAAATAGAGTAATTTTATTATTGAGTAAATTTTGCTCCAATGGTCTATTATATAGTAGATTTACTCTATTATAAAGTGAAATATAGAGTAATGTCATTTCTTCACTACAAATATAGAGTGAAAAAGTGACATTACTCTATTATACAATAAATCATTAGAGCAAATCTACCCAATAATAGAATTATTTTATTTTGGTGTAATTAGAATAAAAAATAAGTTTCCATTGGAGATATCCGTTTTTACTCTAATGCAAACTGGCTATAATGATCACTACGCCAAGTTTCACTCTAATCAGTTAAGTCAACCATGATTGAGTAATTAAAACATTAAGTTTTCTAGGCATTTATACGTTTCAAGAATTGTTTTATAATACGATGGGTGTTAATCGAAGCAATTAAGCTATAGGCCACAGCGAGGTAAATTGAAAGAGTAAGTAACTTTTAATTGGTTATCTATAAGATTCTCCAAGGAGGATTGATTCATAAGACAAGACAACACGTAGCATTTCCATTTTATATTGTATGAACCTAGCTTTATTTTGTTAAAATAAAGTCAAACATTTGAATATAAAACTTTAAATTCGAATAAATGGTTCGCTTACCAGAAAAAATACAGTTGGCCCATAAATCGAAGTTGGCATGTCCAACTACACTGTTTTTTTTAGAAAACAGTGTATGTAACCACATTGTTAGATAGTTTGATGTGCAACATTAATTACTAGCATGGGTTATATGGATTATGGTGATGTTAGAATGAGTGCCTGATACAGTAGAGTTGAACGAAAGAAGTAGATTGGGTTTGATTAATGTAGAACAGACATAAAAGTATAATATAAAATGAATAAATATAAGTTGAATGATAGTTTACAACAGTTTTGGTGTGAATATGATAATTATTAAAATGTTTTTTTTTTCCTTGCTCCAAAGACAGCCTTATATTTGACTCATACTTCATAAATGAGAGATTAAAAAAACATTATCATGAACTGTGACATATTTTGGATGCTACGTGATCAACACAAGCGCATTAGAATAAAACATTAAAAAGACGAACGTAATTGATTCGGTATCGAGAAATGTTTTTTTTCTAAGGATGAAGATAGCTTTAGGAAAACGAAAGAGCTAGACAGAGTGTATAAATCTAAACAATAGTGTTAGAAAATCGCCTAAAATATATTTTTATAGTGTTTTGACAAAGGTTATTCAAATGAAAACTTATAGTTATTAAAAGGTTAATACATATTGCTATTACATACTAATATTATATATTTTGCACTTTGTAGAAATAAATATGTTAGCTAATGAATAAATTGAGAGCTATTATATTATACAAAGTTTTTTCTAATAATCTTAGAGATTTATTTTTAATTATATTATATCACCAAGTTGTGAAAGTTCACATATTTTCTAATTAGCTTTGTTGGTCCGTTTCTTATCTAAATTAATTCTTAGACGCCATGAATTTCTTGCAACGAAGATTAAGAATAAACAATACATAAGCTGACTAATTCTTTAGGTGTTTTAAAGATTACTCAGTAGCTTTGTAAAGTGTATAAACAAAGGTGATTACTGCCATGTTCTAGTTCTTGTATTTATTAGATTTTTCTTACAAGCTGTATCCACTACAGACTCACTTACAAAATCTGATAAAATATTTGGGTAAAAGTTTTGGGTTGTTTAAGTCTCTCCCTCAGTCCCTGGAACCACGACATGTGGGGTTCTACAGTTCCTTGTATAACGACATACTAGTTCGAATTCGAATCAGCTGAACTAGAAGCTAAGAGCTATAGTGGAACAGCTCGAGATCTTGAATGTAAAGCGACGACTCAGACTATTTTAGTCATCACCAATTCAAGTTTATATATATGAGACGAGCATAAAGACAGACAGAAAGAAAGAATGATGCTCATTAAACAAACGCAATACATAGTGCAACCACTGTTTTTCAGCAACTCTTTATTAGGGAATTCTGAAAAGAAACAAACAGTATCAAAGCATGAGCCAGTTCCAATACAAATGAAGAGCAAAATCAAATGAACGAGATAGCTATAAAGGCAATCACGTTCATATCTTAGGAGCCCTAGTGATTACCACTTAATTACCAAGAAGGCCTTTTCGTCCTTTCAGAGACTAGTTCTAAGAAAAGGGGAAGCCCAAACTGGCAATGTTTAATGAACTTACTTCAAAGTATTTGGCATCAGCAACAACAGAGAAAAGCAACTCTTCTCTCTAACCAACTAGCTCAGCCTCTGGTTGCTCTGTATCAGCAGCCTTGGAAGGCTTATGAACAATCTTCGGTTCTGGTTTCTCAATTCCTTGTATATCGGTTATTCTCAACTTCGTCAATTCCTGGACACAAATGTTAAAAATAATCAAAAACAACAAACATACTTCATGAAAGGAGCTCTAAGAATGGTACAATCCACAAAGCTGAAACAAATAAACGCAGTTATAAGACTATACCTGTCGATGCCCCGTGGTTCTCCTATAATTCTTCTTCCGTTTCTTTTTGAAAATGAGCACTTTTTCATCCAACGCCTGTCACTCACACAAAACGTATTCAAACTAGTAAGACACGAAACTAAACAAGAATAACAAACTATTAGTACATGAAAAAATCCTCCTACGCGGCCTCACCAATTCTACATCAAGACATTAAGGTGATGTAGCAACAGTACTCTAATAACTCGTTGTCCATAGACGAGAAAGTCCTATTCTACACCAAGACATTAAGATGATATAGCATCAAGACACAAATAACTACTCTTCTTAGTATTTGATTCAGTTCCTCTCATCAATCATGGGATTCAGTAAGTAAACTCTCATGAAAGTAAATGTTTTTCTTCTTTATGCACAGCTTCAATGGAAATATAAAAGACAAAGAGAGACTTACATGCTCTTCCACAACAGCATGAACAGTAGCATCAGGTAATATAGGCCTACCAATAACCGTCTGGCTTGCAGATCCCAATAGAAGAACTTTCGTCAGTACCAACTGCAAAAAGAAACAACATTTAACAAAAATTACAAATCATAAAGAGCAATTCTCTTAAATTGATTTTTTAAGTTTTTGTCACAAAAAAATAGAACTCAAAAACTAAAATAACCAAAATAACATTTTCTATTTTAAAAAATTTAAACCTTTTTATTTTTAAATTTTAAATCTTATCAACAAACCACCAGTCCTCAACTCTAAACCCTAAACCCTGAACCTTAAACCCTAAATCCCACCTCTTAACTCTACATCCTTATGTCTAGGATAATTAAAATAAATATAAGTGTATATTTATTTATTTTAATATAGTGAAACCTCTATAAATTAATAATGTTGGGACTACAACAAAATTAGGAATTTTTATTAACTTATAGAGATTATTTTATCATATACTAATTGAACCAAAAGTTTAATTTGAGACTATAAAATTATATTACTTATAGAGATTTTTAGTGTATATTAATTTGTAGAATATTAATTTAAAAAAGTTATACTGTAAAACATTTAAGTCTATTTTGGTCATTTTTATTTTTAAAGTTGACCAACATTTTTTTTTAGGTGAAATTTCTGAATCATAAAACAAAATGCAACAACCTTCATGAAGAAGAAGAAGAAGAAGAGCATCATACCTTATCATTAATGTCACAAAACTTCAACTTCTCCGTGAAAATAGAGTCTCCATTACTCACTTTAAACTGATGCGAACCAATCTACACAAATAAGAGAGAGTAATCAACATCAAGCGAGAGAAGTCTATGAAACGAAACTAAAAAAAAATAAAAAAGAGAGAGGCGCCAAAACCTGAACAACGGCGAAGACTGGCTCATAAGGTTTAAATAATCTCTCCGAAGGTTTTAACGGTCAAATATAAGGTTTGGGGGGGAGAGTGCGATGGGAGATCTCTAGTGAGAGATCGAGAGGTCGCGTGAGTGATGCTGATCGATCGGGGGAACGAAGAGAACAATCGCGTTTGGTTGATCGAGAGTGCTGACGTGGCGCGGCGGGTTAGCTCGCGGAGGCATCGGAGGCTCGCCATCGAAGGTTTACAGAGAGGAAGACTCTCTAAACGAGTCAGAGGGATATATGCACACAGCCAAACCAAAAAATGGACGGAGACCCTCTAAACTAGGGAGAGGCATTTGCACACAACCAAACTAATAATAAATGAAGAAACGTATTGCACCACAGCCAAATCAATTATGGTCAAATGGGGAACCAATAAAAACCTGATTAGGACCTGATCCGATTGAAGCTATAAAAACATAGTTAGATTTTGTTAGATCCTCTAACAAAATTGACACGCTATATATATTAGATAAATTTATTTCGATGTAAATTTTTAAAATTATATTCTTTTAAAAAAGAAATTCTTTAAAAAATTCGTTTTAATAAAATTCTTTATAATATTAATTTATGAAGCTATAAGTTTAGTTTTTAGCAAAAATTTCTTTGAAGTTTATATAATCTTTGCAAATTAAAGTATACTAATATTTAATGAAGCTCTATTTATATTACTTTATCTAAAAATGAAATACTAATCTAACAAACAATAAAATATAGAAGAAGAAACAAACACATATTTGAAAAACATGTATAACATAGAAAATTTGAAACAATCTATTTGATTAAAACACGTATTATATAATATTATCATGTTTGAAAAACATTTACTATACATATCGTAAATATGTGATTACTATAATATATACCAATTTACAAATGAAAAAAAAATGTTTATATAACTAAATATAAACGAAAACAAACACTCGCGTGGTTGCGCGGATCAAAATCTAGTTATTGTTTAAATCCAGTTGAATTCAACTCAGAATCCGAAAAATTCGGTCTAAATATTTGAGCTAGTGAACGTTCGAGTTTTATAAATTGTACTCGAAAACCCAAAAATATCATACTACATGGCCGGTCCTGAATCAGATCTAAAGAAACATTCGCCTTACACCATAAACATCACAGATCCCAAATAGGGTTTTTGTAGGTTTTTAGGACTGTTCGCATACCTCATTGACACGTAACGATTTGCGATTGATCCACTTTTAAATTTAAAAAAAAAATCAGAGGAAACAAAAAAAAAATATTTTAGAAAACCCAAAAACGGTTTCTACCGTTAATCATACCCTTAAGACTCCTAAAATTTTTGAAAAAACTACATAGACAAAGACCTCCAGAACATTTTCTTAACCTCCCAAATTTATACAAATTTTTAAAAATTCAAATCTTTCATATCCCCTGAATGTCAAGATCGGCCATGTCAGACTGAACACGATACCTAGTCAAATAAGAGAATGCAAGAAAATTAGGCAATATAATTTAGTTGGGAAGATAGAAGATTAACATTTAAATTATTATTAAACACAAAACCTGATTATTATTCTTAATAATAGGTTAATAAACAACTTCATGAGTTTAGTTTTGTTTTATTATATAACCAGAACAAGGAGACTGAAAATAGAGTCAGTCGATCAACTCTACCTTATAAATTACATACAAATCAGCATTGCTTTATTTTCGAATCCAAAGCCTATTCCATCACACTTTCAAGCCACCAACAACATCCAATACTTCACTGCTCTGCTTCTCACTTTCTCGTCCCACCGAACACTGGCTTGATGAAGAAGGAATGTTCACCTGATCTTCCAACCTATTTCTCTTTGATGCTGGGGATAAGAGCACTGAGCTATGAGCATCATGCCGCTTCTTTGGCACCGGTGTGTCGTGGTTATGTTCTCCTTTGTAAGTGATTATAACAGCTCTTGTGTTCTCTGCTGCTGTCTCGATGTGTTTCCGGACAGGACAACCAGCAGAAGTGCATCGATAGTAATTCCTGAAATACAATGCATCAAAATCATCAAAATGCTTTAGAAGAAAAGGGTAATGCGTTTCAGATATAGACCTTGGATTAGGATTCCCTTTCACCATTTTTTGCCCGTATTTACGCCATCTGTATCCATCACCAGAGATCTCAACATCACCAGCTGCGTGTACTACGTGTTTATGTTTCTTTCCATGTTTGGAGATAGAATCTGAACTTTGTGTGTTATCCTCCTTTTTCAGTCTGAAACACAAGATAGAAGAGAGAGTAAAGGTATGTTAATTTTTTATCTCTCCATGTGAAAGGGTACAGAACTTGCCTCCGTTTTGGCTCTGGTTCCTCCACAGCTTCACTCTCACAGTTTCTCTTCCGTTCAACGTTTGTTGCCGACTGACATATGTGTTCTTTAGTTGAAGGAGGCGGAGGGACTCTTGCTACAACTGTATCATCCTCTGAAACTGGTGTAATAGCTGATGCAGCCTTTATCCCTCTTGGGGAGAAGCTACTCTTCTGAGGAGGTTCATGACTATGCAAACCTTTGTTAACAATCTCTACCATGTTTCCTGATTCGTTGGAGCATTCGATTTTTTTAGCACAACATTCAGAATAGGTACATCTATAGTAGCTCCTTGATCCTTTGGGACTCTTGACCTGCTTCTGCCCATATTTTCTCCAATTGTAACCATCACGTGGCGGTGTCCTCAGAAGAGGAGAAACAGACAAGTTCCTGACCACCCGAGAGTCATAACTTTTTTGTAGTAGTGATAGACCTTGCCCTTTGGCAGCTGAAGGAACCGAAGGTAGAGATGGCTTCACCACTGATATGTCTGACGATGCAGACACAGCAGGAGATGTCTCCATCTCATGGTTTTCTACTACAACTTCATCAACAGGTGCAACCTCACTTACAACATCTTCCTTGCAGCTATCTGTCATATGAACCGGAGAATCAGATTTCTGCTCTTGACTTTTGGCAGCTGAAGGATCAGAAGGTAGAGATGGCTCCACCACTGATGGGTCTGACGATTTAGACAGACCAGGAGATGCTTGCACCTCACGGTTTTCTACTGCCACGTCATCAACTGACACAATCCCACTTACAACATCTTCCTTGACGCCATCTGTCCTCAGAACCGGAGAAACAGACAAGTTGTTAACCACACCAGAATCAGATTTTTGCTCTACCAGTGGTAGAGCTTGACTTTGGGAAGCTGAAGGATCCGAAGGTAAAGATGGCTCCACCACTGATGGAGTCAAAGCAGGAGATGCTTTCACCTCCCTTACAGTCTCTTCCTTGCCGCTATCTGTCTTCAGAACAGGAGAAACAAACAAGTTGTTGACCACTCCAGAATCAGAATTTTGACCTTGTGCAGCTGAAGCATCTGAAGATAGAGACGGCTCCACCACTGATGTGTTTGATGATGCAGTTAACACAGGAGATGTGTCCACAACCACACTTACAACATCTTCCTTCTCCTGACCAAAGTGCCACAGAGAGAAAAACAGTCAAAGGTCACACCTTTTAGTTGTTCTTAAAATTAATTACCTAACTGTAACTTTTTTCAGATTGATCTTGGCCAAGAGTTAAACCACTATAATTACTAATCTTCCCATGTATAGTATAATCCACTAAACCGGTACTCAATCAGATTCTTAAAAAGACATTAAAAAAAAACTTTCCTTCCTCTTCCTCTGGTTAATAAGAGATCACTAATAACAATTCTTAAGTATCTTTTGTCTAGCTAGTAACAACTCACCTTCACCTCTCTTACATCTTGATCATTTGGTTCCACTAGTGAATTTTCTGGAACATCTGGTGAACACAAACATCATTTTGTCAAAATTAAACCAACAAATTAAATCATAAAATAAAAAACATAAATAAAAATAGAGACCAGTACCTTCACCTTGATCCTTAGCTAGGATTTCTCGTACAACCTCGTCATGTACATCCTCCAAATCCTCACCGATAGTCCCAAGTGATTCTTCCTCTCTCAGTTGACTCAATCTTTCATCTTCACCGTCACAGAGCTCCTTCTCAGGTTTCACTTTCTCGGTTTTGACTGTCTCCTTCTCCATCTGTAACTCTCTCTCTCTTGAGTTTGTCGGAGAAACGAACAAATTCGGTAGTATAAAGATGTTACTTTCCGACCGACGGATCTCCAAACACAAAACGCAGCGTTTTTATCACTTAGTAGTACTTTCTGCTTTTAAGCGATAAAGAAGATACTAAAGGAGAAAAGGAAGGGGGCATTACTGAGATTGACTGAAGATAAGTCTTTCTAAACAAACTCCGTTAATTTCTCCGTTGGTTATTGACGTATTCGGTTTAGTTATGAATCACTAGTTGACCGGCCTTGTGTATATAAATAATTTTGGAATACTATTTTGTAAAAATTTTAAGTTTTTTTTTTTTTGCTTGTTTATATGCATGATGATTTCAATATGCAGTGTTGTCTTACAATTATTGAATTTTTTTTTATTTATGTAACCAGAAAAAGGTATACTGCAAACTACTAAATGCATTAACTCCCAAAGAAAAAATATAAAATTGGTATACAATTTGATAATATACGAAATCTATATGGTTACGTGATGTTTAATGACATGCATAAGATCAAATAATTATGGCAAATCTTGAGAGATTCATTAGAACAATCAAGGTTTTTGCTTTGATTTCAAAGCTTTAATCACCCTTTGTTTATCATCATAGTAAAACTAAAACATTAACTTTTGTATTAGGTACTTTGCAATTTAGATTTGAGGCACTTTAAAAACACAAAATTTGATTTGAGTCACTATTTTGCTATTTGATAATTTTCTTTTGTTTTATAACAAATTTTAGGTTATCGAAATTATTGATTTCTCTTCTTTTTTTTTTGCTAAATTTTTATCCTTTTTTAGCTTTAATATTCGATGATAGCTTTCAAAATCTAGTTATATTGTTAGATGCTGTTTAACGACATTCACTAGATCAGATAGCAGTATTCAACCACGTTTTTTTATTTCAAAGCTTTTATCAGTTTTTTTTTTTAGAAAATAGTAAAAACATAATTTGTAAAGGTTTAAAGTTCAGCTTTTCTATCGGTTTTATCCAAATTCATATTTTCTTTTCCTGACCAATATAATGACGATGGAAAATCTCAAATATTTCACAGTAATATAAAGATATGAATGGGTTATATAAACTACATACAAATTAATTTGGGGAATTCAGATTCCTCAGGCATACCCAAGAACCCTAATAATACAAACCCATGATTCATATCATGTGTGGTAAGAAAAAACAACCCAAACAACTTAATAACTCAAACGAAACAAACACGATCTTAAGAGAGCTTCAATGCCTCATCCAAGCAGAAAATTCAACGTCGCTGATCATCGTGGTGTAAGGAGACGGTTCATCTTCAAAATCAGCAAGACGCTCTTCAATTATGTTGAGGTCTCGATGCCGACGAATGTATTGATGTTGACTCTCTTTTGAGACGGCGGTATCTTGATGAGTAAAACGAACACGAGTTGCGCAAGACAACGTAGAGGATGTGACAAGGAGTATAACGATGATGATGAAGCTGACTATTTTGGAAACTTTGGCCATTGTTGGGAAATTGAAACGATAGAAAGGTTTGGTGATTTAATGGGTGTGTGTGCATGTGTTTATATAGGCAAGGGAGAAGATAAGTTTTTTCCTTTTTAATTATTGATAAACGACCTAAGTAATTGCCTTTATTAAGAAATAAGGAAAACAAAAGTCATAAAACATTATTAAAAACCTAGTTTATTTAATGATATCCATCCACTCGACTACTAGCGTCAATTATGCTTAAACATAACGCTTTCCTTCCTTCAAGATTTACTAGAGTTTGATTTACATGGATTTAGTATTTATTTATTTTGTAAGTTAGTACTTACTTTATATAGATAGTGATATATATTATTTTTAATATTCACATGTATTAAATCATTGTTTAATATAACATTTTAAAATACAATAATTTTATAGTTTACATTGAGTAATTTTATATATAGTGTGAATGGCAAGCTGAAACATGGATTTAACTACAAAAGACTTCACTTTACTACTTTGCGGTCTCTCATAAACCTCAGCAGTATATCCCATTGATTTGTATATTCATTCAGCATCACTCCTCCCATCATTTGTTTCCAAATCTGAGCAGAGAACTCGCATTCAAAAAATAAATATTTTTTTTTCCAAAGGATCATTGTATAAGACACAAGAGCTGTCCACCGACTCGCTCCAATGTCTCATGCGATCACCCGTTGCGAGTCTGAATAGCCTCAAAGTTAGGCCCATTAGAGCACATGCATTAGAGGGTCACGGTAAAGTTTACACGAATTCCGAGAGAAAGAAAATAATAAAATAATGCAATTGCAGTGAACCCACGTCACGCAGACTCTCTGAAGTGATCCGGTGTTATTTCGTGGATCCCACGTCACGTGGCGGCCCACGATTGGTTCCTTTATATATATATATATATATATATTTTTTTTTTTTAAAATGACAAAAAAATTAAAAATTATAATAAAAAAGCACGATGAACTCCCCTCAAAGGGGTCATTAATGCATATGCTCTTAGATTCCAACTAATATTTGGGGTCAAATATGGATATGTCATATGTTAATACATCTCTTGAGGGCCAGTTTTGACACTAGTCTTTTATGACATCCATCATATCACATGGCTGATTTTCAATATTAAGATATTTATAGAGTGAATTTGTTGAAAATTCTATAAGAAGTGGTTAATTAACAAAATACACAAACATAAGTATTGTGGGGATGAGTTTCATTTAGCAATTACGAAAGTAGTCTCAAACGATTTTGTTGTCCAATATTAAGGTAGGTCATTTATAGGTAGCAAGCTAGAAGGAGTTTAGTTTATATTGGGGGGGGGGAGGGGTTAGTAATGATTGAACCCCCACTTCTTTTACATGTGTCAGCTATTCATTAGCATAGTTAAAATAAAAAAATAAAAAATAATAATAAAAATTAATAAAAACGAAAATAATTCTTTTAAAAAAAATATTTTAACACTAAACCCTAAACTCTAACCCTAAACCCTAAACCATTTGGTAAATCATAAATCTTTGGTAAATTTTATACAAAAAATCTTTAAAAAATTTTTTTTCACTAAAACCCTAAACTCTTGGGTAAATCATAAACATTAAACCCTAAACTCTAATCCTAAACCCTAAACCCTGGGTAAATCATAAACACTAAACCCTAAACTCTAATCCTAAACCCTTGGGTAAATCATAAACACTAAATTTTTATAGATTTATCCAAAGGTTTGTGATTTACCTAAGATTAGACTTTAGAGTTTAATGTTAAAATATTTTTTTTTAAATTATTATTTTTGTTTTTCTTAACTATTATTATTTATTAAAAAAAATGTAAAATACAACTTGTCTGACACAAAAGCTTCGGTTGAGTGTGTAGATGGATAACAGAATAAAAAAAAAGAAACAAGAGAATAAGTAATCGATACAAACAAAGTTCCTTTGGTGTAGGGGTACAATAGTAATCAGAGCATGTGGGAGTATAACTATAAGACAAAAACAGGGCATTGAACTAATATGTCAATATTTCTTGTGTGTACACTGCAAATACTCATATTTATATTCATAAATATATAATTTTCTCAAGTTTGTATTTTATTTATTTATAAAACTAATCAGATTTATCGTAAACAACTTTAAAAATCTAATTGAAAGATAAATCAATAAAACTGAATTTTCTAAAGTAACAACAATATAACAATCAATAGAAAACAACATCTTTCGTTCTGCTTTCATTACAACAAGAAAATAAATTAAACGAAGAAAATAACATCTGAGATCATAGTTTCAAAAGAAAAGAAAAAAACATCTTGAGATCAACGATTTGGTCTTCAGAGCTTCCTCATTGATTTTTGTCGCAGTGACTCCTCATGAAGAAAAATCCATGGCACGGATCATCGTGGAATAAGGGAATGGCTCAGCTTCGAAGGGAGCGATGCGCTCTTCAATCCTGTTGAGGTTGCGATGCATACGAAGGTATTGTTGCTGCCTTTCTTTTGAGACCACGGTGTCATGATCTGAATGAGTAAAAAGAATACGTGCCCCACAAGACAACGCAGGAAAAGTAATCAGGAGTAAAACGATGATGAAGAAGCTGATTAGTTTGGAAACTTTTGTCATAGTAGCTAGGGTTTTGTTTTTTGGTGTAGAAGATAGTGAGAAAGTTATTGGGATTAATGTGTAAGTCCACTTGTTTATATAAGGATTAAGGGAGAAAAATATAACCGACCCTACTTTTCCTTTTATACAGACCGACTTTAGCTAATTATCATAAGTTCAAGATAAATCTCAAAATTCATGACTTATCTTGCAGGGGATTTTTAGTTTTATTTTTCGCCTCACTTATTTTTTCCTTTGGCTTAACATTTTTTTTTGTTCAGTTCACAAAAATATAGACCAACACATAAATAGATAAGGATGTTTTATCTATTTAAATTGTGACTCTTCTGATACATTCCTAAACAACATTACAGTAGATTTCTTGTTCACGAAGACATGAACCACACCACCGGTCCACCTTTTTTTTTTTTTTGTAAAAAGCTGTACGTAGAAGAATTACATGTCAAATAAAGGTGACCACAATTTTTTCAAGTTTAGCTTTTTCTGCTGCCTTTGTTAACCTCTTTAGTGCTTGATTTTCTTTTAAAATATCAATGCTTTCATCTTTCTAAGAATTTGAAATGAGCTAATCAACAACTCTCTACATGGTAAAAATTAAATATCCCAAATAGTGAATTTTATATCTTTCTCTATACAATACACAGCATAAATTATGACCTTAGTAACCATTCCTTACTTATGACGCACGTCACTTCGGAGAAGAAGATGGAAAATGTCGGCCGAAGAAATAGAGCACAACCGGGGATTAGCTAGGAAGAAGAAAGTTTTGTCACCATCATCGTACACATTATTGTGATGTATGTTGATCGTGTGAGCGTAACTGGTGCATTTACACTATAGAGATACTCTAATTGCTTCCACACGGATTCTTGAGTATCAAAGAAGATTAAAGTTACCAGACCGCTTTGTTTTCTTTCACCAGTCCACAAACATGATGAACCTATATGACTGACTATATCATCTACTTCAAATTCTTCATCAAGTTGAAACTAAGGTTTGTTCTGATTATTGCCCTGTAATGTCAACATGACAAAAATACCTTGAAACTTTTGTTTTTTTATTTGACTTGTGCTCTTGAGCCCTCTGTAAGAACAGATGAGCTTTTTGAACTCAAAAACCTAATGGTTCAACACAAACTCATTGAACCAAAGGTCCCACATTGTTATACAAATCAGTCGCAAAAATGCTGAAGGGAGAGATCAGAAGTGGTAAAAACGAAGAAGATCAAGCAAGGACCTTTGAGCAGTTTGTTCTGACTTGACCTAAAGGACCAGTCAGGACATGGTAGCTGGAGAGTTTCACCATCGCCTTGATGAAATCCCGCCGGAACAAGAGTGGATCAGAAGAGTAAGCTCTCACCCATGTCGCAGTCTCTTCACTGGCCATTAGTTGCTGATCTGCGTACATAACCCCTTTGTTCTGCAAAAGTCTCCTGTAGTAGCGTGATCCGAAGTTAAGGGGACCTCCTTCGTTATTGAAGCTCAAGTCGATGACACCGTCGTTCTCCGAGCTCAGACCGTAGTTGCTGTGGTAATCCGAAGCAGATAAGGACGGTGCAAAACCAGTGTCAGGGCACGGAGATGGAGATGATGCCGAGGCAGAGAAAGGGCATTTTGTCTTCAGTTCCTGGAGGAACCCTGGATTGAGCTCAGGGTCAGGATTGTCGGTTCCTGAGAAGTTGTAGAGTCTGTCCTTGAAGAATGTGCAGTGCGTAATGCCAATGCTGTGGGCTCCTGCAATATTAACCAATCAGAAGATAACACACTTACGATCATATTTGACAATTAAGAAGAGAGGAATACCTAATAAAGTGACAGTTTCTTGTGCGCTGAACCCTCTGGAAGCAAAACTTGCAAGTATTTGAGAGAGGGTAGACCTTGGAGAAGGAAGCTCACGTTCTGCAATGTCTTTGAAGGTGAATAAGCTGTCTTTCCTCCCTGTTTTCAAAGTATAGCTTGGTCCTCCCGCCTAACACACATAGTTAAAAGAGGCTAAAAGAAACATTCTAACAAGCATATAGCAGATACAAAAGGACAAAGAAAATACCAATGCGAGTGCCTCTCTAGTGCTCATAACAAGAATATCGGCACAGGAGACGACTCCGGGACAAGTTCTCTCCAACTCAGACTTAATAGACGCAATCACGTCAAGAGCTTTCAGTGATAAGTTGGGAGGCGCTTCTTTCTCGGAACTCTGCGATTCATCTGCGTCTAGTAGAACCGACGCATCGCATCCCTACCAATAACATTTCAAAAACCATTCAATGAATCAATCAAATCATCAATCGTAGCCAAGTTCAAGCTTATCCTCGAAACAACATGAATCTATTCTCGGTTTCACATGAATCAATCGAATCGATTCCTAAACAATATTCTCGGTTCAATTCCTCGAAACTAACATTAGCGAAACTAAGAAACAGTTAGCGGTTACAGTATCTCACCTCGATGAAGCAATCGTGAAAGAGGAGGCGGATAAGCGACGGAGCTATCCCAGGCCTAGCCTTGTAGATCTCGTTAACAGCATTTCCGATGATTTTCTCGGCGAACGGACAAGAGACGCCGTAGTAGTCGTATCGGAGCCGCGATACGTCTTCGTCGTCGTCGTCGATAGCCAGGTACAGCTGATCCTTTGAAACGAAATCGGATTGATCAGAAACGCTGCCGTTGCGAAGAGAATCTTGTGTGAAGCTGAGGATGACTCCGTGGAGGTTGAAGCCGTGAAGCGCTACGTAGATGCTCAGAGCTAGAACGAAGCAGGTGACGAAAGTGATCTTGTTAGCTCCGACGAACTTCATCTTCTGCGATTTCTAACGGAAGACGATGATGACCAAAGGGAAAAGAAAGGCGGGATACAGTGGATCTGAAATGACGTGTATACCCTTGATCCTCGTCAAATGATATGATTGGATATTTCCAACGATAAAATGACGTGTATGCCCTTCATAGGATCGGATATGGCGACCCACAATGACGGCTATGCCCTTGACTGTCGTTGAGTGAGACTGCATATAGTAAAAATATACAGCTGTCACGCAACTGTGAGTCACTAAAGTTTTACCTTTGGTTTTTAACCTTTTTTACTGAGGAGGCATGAACCTTTTTTGGGGCTAAATAGTTAGTGCATGCAGTTTCTTAATAGTTAGTTGACCTTTAGAAAACAGTAAATAATTGTCGTAAAAAATAACTGATTTATTTTGAAAAAAAAAATGTAACAAAAAAATTATTTGGCTCTCTTACACACTTTCCGTTTTACCATATTCATAAATTTAGGATTTAGTTGTAAGAATAAATAAATATCGTAATGTAACTGTTAATATTTGTGTTTTGTTCAATTTACATAGTATTCACTCGAGAAGATAAAATCGAATTGGATTTGAAAACATAGAATTAGAGACTCAAACTTGACAAACAAAGCTTCCTATCATCTCTCTGGAGATGAAGAAGAAGAGCCGATGGAGATTATGTTCTCTTCCTCGTTAACTTTAATGGAGAGGTTTAATGGTTTTTCCTTTTTAATTAATTTTTTTTTACTAATCCTACATGGCATTTTCATTGGTATAGAGAATATAGTTGAATTATAGAATTCACAACAGGGGGTGAACCCAAACCTTCAAATGTCGACAAAGGTACAAACGAATACACATACACAAAACCGAAAGCACAAAAAGGAGAATGTCGAGTGGTGGACATTCAATCTTCTTTATTCTCCGGATTCAAACTTAAGACAAACAAAGCCAGCAGCTTATTATGTTAGATTAAAAATTAACCCAACAAATGGTACAGTTAGAAACAACAAATCATTTGCCGAAAGCATTGAGAATCCCATATAAAATAACGAACTTCATAACAAATTATCAATATCGCTAAATGCTAGTTACAAAAAAAAAAAAAAACTAAATGTCGCTATTTGAACGGAAAAACATCAAAAACAAATTAGTAAATGGCAGGATAAAATTAAATTGGACAATTCTCTCAAATAGCCTTTTTTAAAGTTTTTATCACAAAAATAGACCTTGAAAATTAAAATGACCAAAACAACACTTTTTATTTTGAAAATTTAAGTTTAATCTATTTTCTAAAATTTGAAACCCTATCCCCAAAAACTCCACTCTTCAATTCTAAACAAAAAGTCTAGGATTAATTAATCCAAGCGGTATAAATGTATCTATTATATAAAGTAAAGCATCCCTCCTTCTAAGGTATGCCACCTAGGATGCCAGCTAGATAAGTCCACGTAGGACAGTTTTTACTCCAAAATCCATCTCTTTCAATTTCTCCGCCTCAATCGAAGAAACAGATTGATGGGTGATCCAATTTTTTTGGTCTGATCAAAACACAGCTTATTACAAATAGATCCATCATCAGACTTAATATTCCCACTCCACAACACGACGCTTTTTGGTTTCTCCATCTCCAGACGCTCTTCTGGAGTTCTCATGTCGAATCAGCCATAAGGACGAAGGAGTCATGGAGATCTTTGATTCGGTGCCGCTCTTTCACTCTAACCTCACTCTCCTACCTCCTCTCGAGATCGCACATCATGGTTACTTTCTCTTCTTCTTCTTATGTTTTGAATTGGCTTCGAAATTGGACTTTGATATTGGCCTACGGATTGTGGAGTTTAAGTTCATCTACAAAATGAAATTGTCTCCTTGCTTCTCTGTATGTTGCTTTAGTTTCAGCTAAGTCTTATTGTTGTGTCTATTCTAACATAGAAGATTTGGAACATGAATTTTTCGCTTTAACAACAAACGCAACGTTGTTCTGTAGCTGTGTTTGATAGAGATTTAGTGTTTGTATCCATGTGTGCGTTTGATGCGAAAAAGGATGATTTTTGCTGTTTGTATGTGTTTAGTTAGAGAACCATTACGTGGCTCAAGGTTTGAGTATTGTTGGGTACTTTCACGCCAACGAGAGGTTCAGTGATGTGGAGCTGGTATGGGCGAAGAACCTTGGTGATCACATCTATTGCTATTTTCCTTTTGCACCGATTTAGTATTACCTATAATCAGATCTAGGTAACCATCTTATGCTCTTTTATTTTTTGAACAACAAAAAGCTTGGAGCCTTATCTAAGGTTAAAGATCGAATCCATGTGAAGCATATTGATATTTCTAACGAGGACAAGGTCTTAGATAGCTATATATATAAAGGTTACTCACCAGTATATCTATCTTGGCATTTGAAAGTATGGGTTTGCATATTGTTATTGCTATATAATGTTAATAATAGTTATGTCTTTCAATAAGCTCAAGTCAGAATATTGAGAGTCTTAAAGCTCGATTTTTTTAGTACTTGCAATCATTATTTTTATTGCATCCTAAACACATGCTGTCAACATTAAGATATAAAACATGACCAGACTGTTTACTTGAATTGTGTTAGTGTTGACAACCTTCTTGACACCAAACTCATACTGTTCTTTTATTTTGATACTTTCTGCTGATGTAATTTAATTTTGCTGCAGTTTACTAATACTTTTGTCTACATTGCGTGATACATCTATGTGAAAGATGCTTCCAAAAACTGGAGTGGTTGGAACAGATGGAAGCAACAAACTACTTTTAATGACTAATGTCTTATCCATAAACATGCTCTCTCTCTATCTTGACAGCGATTGCTTTGGTTTATGTTTCAGCCAGAGCAGAAGTACGAGCTTGTGAAGAAGTTGCAAGAACTGAAGCATATATGTAGGATGACTGGTGATGGATGCTCCAGCTTTGAAGAGAGCCAACATTGGTATCGCTGTTGCTGCTGCTACAGATCTGCATGAGACACTTCTGACCACGCGAGCCTTGACTCAGTGTTATCATCAGTGCGTTGTAACCACACGAGCTATTTCCCAAAGAATAATGAGTTGTACAATCAGTTCTCTCTTTTAAGCTATAGTTTTTCACTGTATCTTTTCTCTTCTACAATCCCACTTTGTTTTCCCATGTTTTCTAACAGATTTATGCAGTCTCAATCACCATTTGTATAGCGGAAAGTACTCAACCTTGCATGAACATCAAATCTTCATGTTTACGTTCTCTTTGTACCTCTTCTATAGTTTGGGTTCATGCTCATTGCTTTAATATGGATAGTGAGTTTTTTTTTTTTTTTGAACTTAGATAGTGAGTTTCTTTCTTCTTAAAACTTCTTCCAAGTGCTTCACATATTAACTGCTCAACATGAATAATCATATGACTATCTTAAACTTCTTTCTTCTTTCTTCTTTAGTTATATTTATTTATTTGTACTAGTTAGAACTTCTGTTTAAATGATATAAATCCGATGACTAAATATCATTCAGTTTAAATGTATAGTAATTTTTGAATATTTTATATAAAAATTAATTAAATTTAAATCAAATTATAATATCTACTAAAAAAATAAATAGTTATTTACTAATGACATATAACTAAATTTAAAATAAAATTAATTAATTATAATAAATTCAATGTAAAATAAATTTTATAATTTATTTTAAAACCCAAATTAACAAAGTTAAAATAAAACAAGTATTGAGAACAAAGTAAAACAATAACAGTTTTATATCTTTTTAAATGATGAAACAAGTATACTCTTATTAAATAATAATGAAATAATAAAAATGCAATGAAAACAGAGAACAAATTTAATTGAATTTTTTTTTCTATGTAAGAATTAATGTAAATTTTTGTTCATGCAAGAATTAATATTAGGAAAAATCAAACAATTTTGACAATCAAAGCCGCAACAAAGCTAAAACATCTTTGCATATTGGCAGAACACAACTGTAGTAAATGTAATTATCTCGGTACCTATCTCTATGCCATAATTTTGTTAGGCACAAGAGAACATGAGGAATGCAAATGGAGAAGTTCTTGGATTATCTTTTACGGTGACTAACAAATCTCTACACTCATCGACCACTACTCAGTTTTACACTTTTGGGTTTCAATTTTTTTTTTTTAATTTTGATTAGGTTCACTTTATCTTCTTCGCTTTCATTATAACATTCAACTTTAATAAGAAATGCAGCTTCATATAATCACCACTTCCACTCTAATAACATGTCGAAAGAATATAATTTCAACATAAAAAGTAATTACTCTTATAACATACACAAACAATTACCCACAACCTAATTCTTCTGAATCCAAAATATTACAAACCACCTGGATATGAAATCAATTTTTGTTAAAGAAAACAACGTAAAGACCTTTCGAAGCCTTCACAGCATATCAACGCCACATTCTTTAATATAGAAACAACTATTTAGTTTTAAATATATCTTATCACATATAATCCTTTCATACTTAAAAATTTTTGGAAAACAAAAATCATTCTCATACACATCTCTTATAGATGCAAACATAAACCACAAATCCTAAAATCATACAAAAATAATAACATAATTAACAAATAAAATATATCCCGCCCGCAGGGCGGGCCGACCCTAGTATTTAATAAAACATTTAAATGCTATTTTGGTCATTTTAATTGTTAAGGTCTATATTTGTGACAAAAAACTTTTGTAGGTATATCCTAGTCATTTTCACAATTAAATTTGAAACGAAAATTAATTATCTCAGTTAAAAACCTCTAGTTATCGAACATAAATTTTGTATCTAAATATTATTATTCTTAAACATTTCTAAAAATTCTTTACAAAAACATGTGAATTTCAACAAAAATGGTCATCGGGAATCCATCAGAAATTCCAACGAACTCTGACAATAATATTTTTGATGATTAACCAACGATAAGTGTTGTGGGGAAGATGTCATTGATAATTTGTCAAAAACAATTCTGACCAAACTAATCATTGGAAATATTGGTATACTCCGACGAAGAGATTCAATTCGGTCGAAAAATCCGACGAAGAAATTCGATCAGAAAATTTCAATACAAGTTCTTTGGCTGAACATTTTTCGAAGTTATTAAAAGATATTATGTATAAAACACCTGCTAATATATATTAGCATCTCAGATTTCCAACATTTTTAATCAACACTTTTTCTAAAAAATACATAATGACATAACAATTGTTTTTTCTCCTACAAAATAACTCGGGTGTAGCCCGGGAAAAGGATCTAGTATTTCTAAATCTTAGTCTAAGGTTAGTTAGCTAACAGTATAAAAATATATTTACCTTTCATTAAGAATAAACGTAAATAAAAAAACATCATAAATACTTTTTCATACATATATATGTATATATATATGTCTATAACTGAGTTTTTCTACCGTTACCATACAATAAAAAGAACTTAGAACAAAAAATATCTTACATGGAGTTCATATCCTTTATATACTAAGTCACTTAACCAATAATAACTTGCCATATAATTTACTAATAAAAATTTTAAAATAAAAAACAAATGAAAAACGAAAAATGCAAAAAGCTAACAAGACAAGTCGATTTAAATATTTATCTGATAAGTCAAAAATATTCTCTCTGGTCACTTCGCATGCGGTTTTTCTTTCCATACCACGATCACTGTTTACCAACAATCTCTGGATAACTAACTACCTAAGTCCAGAAAAAAAAAACTACCTACGTTCGATTATTTATATTTATGAGATTATTTTATAACTGCTTACTGTTACAAAAACACAGTTTATCTCCTTCTCTTATTAACAAACCTGATGTGGGCATGCAAGGCTTCTTCTCCGAGATAGTAAGTTTTACAATGGTCTTATTCATCAAACCTCATTACGTTATGTGCAAAGTTTTCTTAAAAAAAATACAGGTTATACTTCTTTTCCAAAACAATAATCTGAGATGAAAAAGACAAGATGATAACTTTTTCTTTGAGCAAAGCAATGGATAACTCAAAGTCTTCAAAAATCTATTTTATTTTTGCTGGTTTTGCATATCCCATAACTAATATATAACGATTGATTGAAGGTTTTGAAAGAGCAGAAAATGTAACACTGCCCTCAAAGACTATCAACCAAACTGGATTTACAGGTACAAAATATTTTAGTTTAAAAAAAAGGGTACAAAATAGTTTGTTTTACTAACCTTTTTATCAAAAAAATATAATATCTTTTTTTTTTTGTTATTTCTGTTTGATGTTACCTAAATAGCAAATATATATTTTTGGTTTACTTACAATTCAAAATTATGTATAATAAATTAGAATCTAATTATTTTTATATCGGTCAAGAGTTTCTTTTAAACTAATACTATTTTTAACATATCATTTTGGTTTCCTTTACGCAGTACAGGTATGTAGTATACTAGTTTTCTATTAGTTATGGGCAAAAAAATCGGAAGCAAAAAATTGAACCAAACCAAAACTTTTATCTAATTGTTCCAAAAAATAATCTTTTTTTTCAAAATAAATCAGTTATTTTTACGACAATTATTTACTGTTTTCTAAAGGTCAACTAACTATTAAGAAACTGCATGCACTAACTATTTAGCCCCAAAAAAGGTTCATGCCTCCTCAGTAAGAAAGGTTAAAAACCAAAGGTAAAACTTTAGTGACTCACAGTTGCGTGACAGCTGTATATTTTTACTATATGCAGCCTCACTCAACGACAGGCAAGGGCATAGCCGTCATTGTGGGTCGCCATATCCGATCCTATGAAGGGCATACACGTCATTTTATCGTTGGAAATATCCAATCATATCATTTGACGAGGATCAAGGGTATACACGTCATTTCAGATCCACTGTATCCCGCCTTTCTTTTCCCTTTAGTCATCCATCGTCTCCTACGATCTTTCCGTTGGAAATCGCAGAGAGAAGAAGATGAAGTTCGTCGGAGCTAACAAGATCACCTTCGTCACCTGCTTCGTTCTAGCTCTGAGCATCTACGTAGCGCTTCACGGCTTCAACCTCCACGGAGTCATCCTCAGCTTCACACAAGATTCTCTTCGCAACGGCAGCGTTTCTGATCAATCCGATTTCGTTTCAAAGGATCAGCTGTACCTGGCTATCGACGACGACGACGAAGACGTATCGCGGCTCCGATACGACTACTACGGCGTCTCTTGTCCGTTCGCCGAGAAAATCATCGGAAATGCTGTTAACGAGATCTACAAGGCTAGGCCTGGGATAGCTCCGTCGCTAATCCGCCTCCTCTTTCACGATTGCTTCATCGAGGTGAGATACTGTAACCGCTAACTGTTTCTTTGTTTCGCTAATGTTAGTTTCGAGGAATTGAACCGAGAATATTGTTTAGGAACGTGTTGAGAATAGATTCATGTTGTTTCGAGGATAAGCTACGATTGATGATTTGATTGATTCATTGAATGGTTTTTGAAATGTTATTGGTAGGGATGCGATGCGTCGGTTCTACTAGACGCAGATGAATCGCAGAGTTCCGAGAAAGAAGCGCCTCCCAACTTATCACTGAAAGCTCTTGACGTGATTGCGTCTATTAAGTCTGAGTTGGAGGGAACCTGTCCCGGAGTTGTTTCCTGTGCCGATATTCTTGTTATGAGCACTAGAGAGGCACTCGCATTGGTATTTTCTTTGTCCTTTTGTATCTGCTATATGCTTGTTAGAATGTTTCTTTTAGCCTCTTTTAACTATGTGTGTTAGGCGGGAGGACCAAGCTATACTTTGAAAACAGGGAGGAAAGACAGCTTGTTCACCTTCAAAGACATTGCAGAACGTGAGCTTCCTTCTCCAAGGTCTACCCTCTCTCAAATACTTGCAAGTTTTGCTTCCAGAGGGTTCAGCGCACAAGAAACTGTCACTTTATTAGGTATTCCTCTCTTCTTAATTGTCAAATATGATCGTAAGTGTGTTATCTTCTGATTGGTTAACATTGCAGGAGCCCACAGCATAGGCATCACGCACTGCACATTCTTCAAGGACAGACTCTACAACTTCTCAGGAACCGACAATCCTGACCCTGAGCTCAATCCAGGGTTCCTCCAGGAACTGAAGACAAAATGCCCTTTCTCTGCCTCGGCATCATCTCCATCTCCGTGCCCTGACACTGGTTTTGCACCGTCCTTATCTGCATCGGATTACCACGGCAACTACGGTCTGACCTCGGAGAACGACGGTGTCATCGACTTGAGCTTCAATAACGAAGGAGGTCCCCTTAACTTCGGAACACGCTACTACAGGAGACTTCTGCAGAATAAAGGGGTTATGTACGCAGATCAGCAACTAATGGCCAGTGAAGAGACTGCGACATGGGTGAGAGCTTACTCTTCTGATCCACTCTTGTTCCGGCGGGATTTCATCAAGGCGATGGTGAAACTATCCAGCTACCATGTCCTGACTGGTCCTTTAGGTCAAGTCAGAACAAACTGCTCAAAGGTCCTTGCTTGATCTTCTTCGTTTTTACCACTTCTGATCTCTCCCTTTGGCATTTTTGCGACTGATTTGTATAACAATGTGGGACCTTTGGTTCAATGAGTATGTGTTGAACCATTAGGTTTTTGAGTTCAAAAAGGCTCATCTGTTCTTACAGAGGGGTCAAGAGCACAAGTTTCAAGGAAAAAAATAAGTCGGTCTGTATAAAAGGAAAAGTAGGGTCGGTTATATTTTTCTCCCTCATCAACCTTATATAAACAAAGGGACTTACACATTATTAATCCCAATAACTTTCTCACTATCTTCTACACCAAAAAACAAAACCCTAGCTACTATGACAACAGTTTCCAAACTAATCAGCTTGTTCATCATCGTTTTACTCCTGATTACTTTTCCTGCGTTGTCTTGTGGGGCACGTATTCTTTTTACTCATTCAGATGATGACACCGTGGTCTCAAAAGAAAGGCAACAACAATACCTTCGTATGCATCGCAACCTCAACAGGATTGAAGAGCGCATCGCTCCCTTCGAAGCTGAGCCATTCCCTTATTCCACGATGATCCGTGCCATGGATTTTTCTTCATGAGGAGAGTCACTGCCACAAAATCAATGAGGAAGCACTGAAGACCAAATCGTTGATCTCAAGATGTTTTTTTTCTTTTTCTTTTGAAACTATGATCTCAGATGTTATTTTCTTCGTTTAATTTATCTTCTTGTTGTAATGAAAGCAGAACGAAAGATGTTGTTTCCTATTGATTGTTATATTGTTGTTACTTTAGAAAATTTAATTTTGTTGATTTATCTTTCAATTAGATTTTTACAGTTGTTTACGACAAATCTGATTAGTTTTAAATACAAACTTGAGAAAATTATATATAGATGAGTATAAAATATCCTAATTTTGAAAATCAGCCATGTGATATGATGGATGTCATAAAGGACTAGTGTCATAACTGGGCCTCAAGAGATGTATTAACATATGACATATCCATATTTGACCCCAAATATTAGTTGGAATCTAATGGGCCTAACTTTGAGGCTATTCAGATACTATTTATTGAATATAATACTTTTTTTTTTTTTTTTTGCTAAAATTGGATTATAATACTTTTTTTTTTTTTTTTTTGCTAAAAACGTTAATCTATTACTATTAAAAGGGCTAATTCAAGCCACATTAGAGTGTCCACATAGGCATTTTTATTTAACCAATAATATTCTTCCAAAGCTCCATGTCATATTCGGTTTGACATCTGATTTTGGTTCTAAAATGAAATTAGGATTTTTGGTTTGGTTTTCTGAAATACTGGTTTGGGTTTGTGTCGGCAGAATAAGTAGTCTCCAGATCCTCCCTCTCCTTTCGACTCCCTCACCTACGTTCTTTTCTCTTCAGTTTTTTCTCCATTAATCTGATCCACTCCTCTTCTAATCAATTATCTGCTTCAATCCATTCAATATTCAGTTTCTCTCATTGAGATTCAATGGAGTTCTCCCTTCATCTTCCTCCCCAACTTTGTATATATAGATCTCCCCCCTTTGGTTATGTTATGCTATCGATTAAACTTCCTTACTGCCACGTCATATGCAGCCTCAGTCAATACGTCGAACCCTCATCGAGTTTGTTTCCTCCGTTTCCTCTTCATCAAAACTCTTTCGTCTCTATGATGGTTTGTTTATACTCTCCACTTCTTTCTCCTTAAATCGATAGTGTCTCTAAACCCTATACCTGCTCCATTCTTCCATCTCGTTTGTATGAGTGTACCGGGTCTGATTCGATGGGGTCGGAGGTCTCCGACGGGTTTGGTTTGATTCCGATTGCAATAAGAGATACGACGTCGTTTTGCTATTTTTGGTTTCAGTTCAAGAAGCTTTCGTGGTTTCTCTTCTCTCTGTTAGCTCTTAGCGATTGATTTTGATGTTGCAGATTCGATCGACATTGGAAGTATATCGAAGCATTTGTTGGATCAAAGACAATCGTCCAAGTAATTATTATTTAGCATCACATGTTCTCTGTTGGATTAGATCTTCTTATAATCATATACATGTTATGTTCATGTTTGAGTAGTGAGTTATGTTCCCTGTTAAAAAAAAATTCTTTGGAACAACAAGAGTGAGTTCATAGAGATGTTATGTTCATGTTTGAGTAACGAGTTTTGTTCTGTCTCATTTCTTCCCGGTAAGAATATATCTTTTTGGGACAAAAAGAGTCATATAGATGTTTGCTTGATGGGGTTTTGGCAGATACATAATCACGCACAGAAGTACTTTCTCAAAGTTCATAAGAGCGGTGCTAACGAACACCTTCCTCCTCCACGACCAAAGAAGAAAGCTAGGCATTCTTATCCTCAAAAGGCTCCTAAAAATGGTGACTTTTTATGATCTTATTCTCATCTCCTTTGTGTTCATTCTTTGATTGTTTTGTCCACTCTGATGTTTTTCTTTTATGCTGCAGTTGTTCTTCCCTCCCACGCCATTGTTCTTTGATAACTTCCGAACTCTCCCACATGTCAAGCGCATTCATCTATTTCCTTGAATAGTAAAACAATGTTTCTGAGACTTGCAATCTTTTTTTTTTTTTTTGATNATGCTGCAGTTGTTCTTCCCTCCCACGCCATTGTTCTTTGATAACTTCCGAACTCTCCCACATGTCAAGCGCATTCATCTATTTCCTTGAATAGTAAAACAATGTTTCTGAGACTTGCAATCTTTTTTTTTTTTTTTGATTCAGGGGCAGGTGAGGAAGCCATTGAAACAGCAAAACTTCTTGCTCTTAAAGAGGGATTACTGGTACAATTGATTTATAACCTTCTTTTCTAAGTGTATAAAACTATGAAACATAGGAGTTTGATGTGACCAATGAGATAATTTGGCAGGTGGGAATATCCTCTGGAGCAGCAGCAGCTGCTGCGTTGAAGGTTGCAAAGCGGCCAGAAAATGCAGACAAACTCATTGCAGTAAATCTTTTTTTTTAATCTCTGACTTACCATTAATGTTTGAGTTAGATTATGAAAAATCAGGGATCAGAATTTCGATCGTTTAGGAATCCTTTACCTCTGGCTTGATTGAAATTGTTTAGTGTTGCTTGATACCAAAACTTGAAGGTTTTTAACTTCCTATGCTTGGGGTTTTTCTTTGTTTTATGTTTGTTTATCATCTTTATGGTTTATGGGGTATGTAAATAAGCCATGAGCAATTATTTGAAAGAAGTTTCAAGCAGTTATTGTTTTGTAGAATTTAAATCCACAGAGATGTGCAAGTATATAGTTTTGTTTCTCTTTGAAATTTCAAGTTTCTTGAATTTGATGAAGTGCAAAGACACATTTCTTTTCAATTTCAGGGAACTTCTATGGATGAGCATGCTTTCAGGTTGAGATTCTGGACACAAGCGGAGGGGCACAGTTGGGAAAGCTTGAGATGATATTCCAACAAAGTTACATTTAAAAGTTGTAGCTGTTGAGGCAGACGGAAAGATCTAAGACAGCTTTTCAGGACATTGAACAGGTAATAATGCAATTGCTGAAGTTTAGGTCTTATGCGTTGGTTTAATATTATTCTGTTAGAAGTCACAACAGCTAGAAAGGGACGTAACATGCCATTGGTGTCTGTCGTAATAGAAGTTGTGTTGGATTTACTACCCTCAGAAACATCAAACACAATCCTTCATGTTTCTTTGTTTATGCATAGCTTCCAAAGAGTAATATTGGAAAATACACAAGTTACAAATTTTGTAACTTTCATGACAAAGCAAGAAACGTCATACGCAAAAAAAAAACATGGTCGAGCACTCATTCCTACGGACGCCATTTGGTAAGATTCTTATGTTGCACTCTGTTCTCTTTCTCTCTCTCTGACCTCTTAATTTGGATGNTTCGCTCTGTACTGGCTTAATATATTAGACTATTAATTTATGTTTTTATTTTGTGATTAAATGAAAAAAGAACGTGGTACTTATACATATAAGATATTTCTAAACATTTTTTTTTGTACCTCGCAACTGGCTGAGATTTAGATTTAACGCACAACATAATGATTATAAACTTCAAAAGAGTCACTCTTAATAAAAAAAAAGAATGTGTAGACTAATAGAAAAACAAAAAAAGGTACAAAAAGTGTCCCAACAGAAAAATCAGTACCAATTGCTGATTGTTTCACTTTGTCTGTATTATGTGTCTAACACAATGTTTTTAACTTGCTGCATCAAAACATGTTCAGAAAGTAAACTATCGCTGAACTAAACATAGCATGGACATCTACATTGTTTTACTTACAAGCTTATTGGAGCCTCTGTTAGAATATTTGCTCGAAGAACTAACTGATATATATATATGGTTTTTGACATAAGTTCAAAATAAAAATATGTCTACTAAAATGATTTTGTTGTTTGTTATTAAAAGCGATGCTCTGTAACAAGAAGTGTTTTTAGAATCGGAACCAGGTTGGATCATGACGCTCTCTCTTCTAAACAATTTTGAGCAGTGCTAAAAACCAACAAATTCGGTTCAAGAACCATCCACTCTCTAAAACCAATGGTCCAGTTTGATATTAAAACCTGATTTTTTCAAATTCAAGTTAAAAAGTGCAAATTTTTAAAAACTTTCAAAAAAACCTGTATTGTTTTTAATATCTAAATAAATTACATTTCATTACATTTTATATTATTTTTGCAGTTTTCATTTTATTTCCTTATCATTTTAGCTTCAAATAATGATAAAAAGTCTTACAAAAATAATTTTATAGTTATACATATATATAGATACTTAACTTAAAATTAAATTAAATTTACGGCCCAGTTGGACCGGTGTCAACATTGACCTAACTGCAATGTCAAGTTAATGTTCGGTTCGGTATTCAAAACATTGATGGCAAAGATAAATCAATATCAGTTTATAAATAAATAGAATAAATAAAAATTATTCATAAAATAAAATATATACAATTTTAAATTTATATAATATCATTTTAAATTTAAATTAAATTCAGTTCAATTTATTTAATATACTTAATTTTTAGATATTGATCGTGATTATTTTCTACCAACATTTTGAAGATAGAAAATATAAAATTACAGATTAAAATTTTACACTAATTATTATTAAGTTATTACTACCAAAAATAAAATGAGGGTTCTGTTAAAAAAATTAGAAAATCAATATTTTGTAAAACAAATTGTCCATTATTAGTATTACTTATAAAACTCTTAGTTGCATTAACTACAAGGATTTTGTCAATCCTTATCATTTTATATTAAATTTAACATTCTATTTCATCTGTTTTTAGTTACAAATGTAATTATACAATATATTATATATATAAACAATATGATTAAAAAAATTTTTTAAGAGACTAGCCGCACGTAGCACGGCCAAAAGATCTAGCAAAGTTTTTTCGTAGTTATGAAAAGATATTATGTATAAAGCACCTGCTAACAAATATTTGCACCTCGGGTTTCCAAAATCTTAAATCAACACTTTCTCTAAAAATACTTAATCACACAACAAATGATTTTTCACCTTAAAAAACCCGAGTGTAACCCGGGAAAAGTGATATTTTAGCATATTAGTTTGACCCACATAAATTTTTCATTTTAAA